TTATTTCGTTTGAAGATATGCGCGGTGTCAGCCAAGGGACAATCATGTGGCATAAGTTCTGTGGTCCAAACTAGTTGGAGAATGGGTTATTTCATCATAGGTGGGTTTCCCTCTTTGAAAATATCCAGATGTAGTTGGTCAGGACCGAGTGATTGCTGACGCCTCATAAAGTGACACCTGTAGAAAATCTCAGTTTTAGATGGCTAGGCGCGTTCCACCACCGTGGGGAATTGAAGGTAATGAGGATCAGTTAAACTGCATTGCAAAGTTCTCTACCCAAGCTACAAGTATACGTTAAGTGGTGTGAATATCCTTCCCATTGACTGTACAGGGCAATTTGCTTACTGTTTTCCTCTTGCCGTCAGTGAGTCGCATATCACTGAGACATGATTGCACATTGGAATGACAGACACTAAAGTTTCGCAACCTGGCATGTCGCTCATCCAAAAGGAAAGACTCATAAAAGGACGAGGGATACTTCTGTATTACCAGAGCGAAGTCGTGGAGGATTCAGACTTGCAGATCTCTGATTCTCTTTGGTGCCGCCTGCATTGAAAAGACAGAGATACTTGGTTTATTTCTTTGGTGTACCGCCCTCCTAATTCTTCATTCAAACTGACTGCCACCTTGCGGTTGCTTTAAGACGCGCCATAAGGAGAGGGTACACTCACATTCTTATTATGGATGAATTCAACGTACATTGTTTAGAAATCCCTGCCACGATTGGAGAACAATTCAAGGCTGATCTGCAGGATCACGTAACCACTGTTCCGCTGTACAGTTACGTCAATTTACCCACTCGATTCAGAACACGTAACAGGCTATTTGTGCTGGATCTTGTGCCTACCAACGAAGAACATATGGTTGATATTGACTGTAAAATGACCGTTGGGTCGCAATGATAATGCAGTCATCAGTTACAATCTCGTCCGCTATGCGGAAGATTGGAGTGAGAACTATGAGACTGTGCGAATCATAACAAGCTACCATCGATTGGCCCAGGTCGTCAGCACCACAGCCCAGTCGTTCCTAGCCGAAGAACCTTCTGAAGTCACCCGGCTAGAGTTCGTCAACAAATTCGGTCCGCTGGCTAAACATGCCTCAGAGATGAGAGTTTACAATTGGAATAAATCAGTTTTTAGTTAGGTCTAGAAGCCAAAATTGGTTCTCAATACGCAACGTAGCATGGCGGGTGTACGAAGAAGCTCCAACGCCAGAAACTTGGGACAAGTACATAGCCCAACGTAACCACTTCACAAAACGCTCAGAGAGGATAAATCCGCTAATCAGCAGAACACCGCGAAAACCTGCAGTGCAAGCCACAAACGGCTGTACATGCTAATGGCCTACGAAAGGTGAGGCAGGGATTTCCTCCACTCACGACGGTCGATGGCCCAACAAAAATGGCTATAGAAGCAATAAGCTTGCTGCAGATGCAATGTGCCCCACGTTTCATAGGGTCTTGCCATGAAGTAAACTTCTAGCTTTCCTCTTCTCCAAGCCAGGGCTAACTCCCGTTACTTTTACTGCTGTAGCTGTAGTGCAGAAGCTGACGTCTCTACGCGACTACAGCTCTTCGGCTGTCGATACCATTCATCCAGAGGTACTGGGTGCAGCAGTAAACCAATTGGCAGGATCTTAGGCTCATTTTTTCCAGCGCTGCGTTGACCAGGGTCAGGTTCCTGTTATGTGAAAGCTTGGAATAACAACGGATTTACAAAGGTGGAAGCAGAAATGAGCACTGCAACTACCGCCCAGTATCACTTGTTCCCATATTCGTCAAGTTCATGGGATGCCTCGCTGCCGGTACACTGCTGTGTTAGCTGAAAAACTGTAACCTCGATACGCCCGAATAGCAAAGCTTCGGTTGTCAGCGCTCATGCACAACGAATTTACTAATCGTACGGAGTACTTGGACCGAGTCAGCTGACGCTGAAGAAGAGGTTAATGTAATCTAGCTGGAGTTTTCGAAAGCACTGTAGCGTGTAGGTCATTGGGCACTCCTTCCCAAGCTCCGGTATTGCGGATCGGTCACCCAGTTTTAAGCTGGATTGTCGACTTTCCCCTTCAACGGCAATTAGTGATCAGAGTTCGGAGCTCTTTCTGGGATCACGTGAAATTCGAGTGTGGTGTGCCACAAGACTCAGTCAGTCCTAGGGCCACAATCGCTTTTGATGTTTATTAACGACCTTGCACAGCAATCGCTTCAAACTTCCTACTGTTTGCCGATGATATCAAGCTTTGGCGCAGGATTCAGGTGAATGCCGACCAGCATCTGCTTCAGAGTGACCTAGACACACTGCATCAATGGTGAAACGAAAATTTACTGCATTTAATGTGAGTAAATGCAAGGTACTCACCATGCGACATTAGAGTATCTACTCATACCGACTCGGAACGAATATGCTACAACAATCAAGTCTCGAACGTGACTTAGGTGTCCTGGTTCAAGATGACTTGGGTTGCTCCAGGCAATCCGAAAAGGCCTCGAAGACTAGAAACCAACAAGCCGGGCTGTTGTGACAAGCGTACAGATAAAGAGACATTACTAATTTTCAACAAATGCTCAGTGGGTATGTTCGCCCCATGTCAAATAGGCAATTCAAGCCTGGCATCCATGGCTGAAACACGACCTTAATGCACTGGAGCAGTCTCAACGTCGGGCATCTAAGAACGTAATTGGAATGCGCAATCTTTCAAATGATCAGAGGATGAAACGATTGGGGGTATTCAGTTGACCGTATCACAGATTACGTGCCGACCTTATAATAGAATATTGATACTCCACGACCCACATTATGTGCACCGCTCCTTACTGCAACTCAGCAGTAATACAAATCTGAGAGGTCACTCCATGAAGCTAGCAGAACCGTATAGCCGTCTGAAGTGCCGCATGAATTTCTTTCCATTCGTGTATATCACCCGTATGATGCTCTCCCTGAATCCGTCGTCCCGGCACCGACAGATTGCACACTCATTCACTTACACTTTGTTACTTAACACTACGTCTCTATCCTACTCCAGGATTTATTTGCTGTTAATCGTGGGTGCTGTGAATGTGCGCGGATTGTAAGGCCAAATCGGAACAAACGATAAGTCCTTTTCATATTTACAGTATTAAGTTTTTTTGATATCAACATTTCGAAATCTTCACCAAACTACCCAACAGGATTTGTAAAGTAGCGCTTCTTAATCCGTATAAATTCGTTATTCACTGTTCATCTGAGAGAAAAGTCTTCGGAAATTCCAAGAGGAATCAGCTCGTCTCATCTGTATGACACGCAGTTTCTATCAATCTTCGCGGTCTTTCTTGCGTGGCTGTCTGAACCCGATCGTTGATGGCTGTGCGTAACGCAATGCACCTAACACTAGCAAATTATGTAGCCCAGCTGCTCTCCCTCATGGCTCAGCGGCTTAATTTGCTGGCTACTTGGCGTCAGCGTCTAGTGGTCATGGGTTCAATCCCTAGTAGGGGACCGAGCAAATGTGCACCACTTACGAGCCCCAGTAGGGCGAATCGTGTCAGGTGCTTTTCTAGATTGTAGTTGATTCATGTAGCTTGTGCGATGCGGGGATGAATACACTCAAATTAGCATAAATTGTTCGATGGTTTTCCAGAAATAAACCTGTTGATACTGTGCCCCAGAAAAATCACAGACAGCCGTGGCGGAGTTGTGCATGGCACTCCCGCTTCGTGCTCAATGTGCCTGGATTTCTGGGGGTGGAGGGCTCTTCAGGTACTGATAATGTTGGGGGAAGAAGCTTTGGATAGGTCAAAACGTTTTGGGTGAGGCCATCGAGTGCTAAAAAATAATGAGCAAATTAACACAGACAAGTGTGTTATCTGTACTGAGAATTATGCTGCAAATCGTCTTACAGTCCGTTAAGCAGTCGTGGAAATGTTATGACAACTTGGTCGATATGCGTCCGTGAATGTCTAGCCGAATTACATCGCCAGACGACGCACTGGCTCCAAGAGAACCGAGCGTTAGTACGCAAGAGATATATGACTTTATTCGCGAAGAGCAGTAGAAGGTGATCACCATTACCTGTCCTACACTTACCACGGTCATGTTGAGCGCCGACTTCATTACCAACAACTTCTAGCCTACCCACCTACGTTTCTAAGTCTCCGGCATGCACCGCGATGTTCATGGACGTTCCTACGCAGATCAGGCAGCTGATAATTAAACTCATCTTTAGGTGAGTACGGGCGGCAGTCCGCGTACGTACACCGCTGTGTCAAACGAATGGCTTTTAGTGGCCTCATGGCTAGACAATCATATGAAAAATCTTGGCCGAATTGTGCAGAGGGCTGTTAACAGAGATCAAACCACATGACCCTGCTCCTTGGCAAGTACTTAACGCAACTCCCAAGCCTGCTCTCCCCGCGAGTTCAGTGCATGCATGTTCGGATAAGCTGAGTGCGTATGTGCTTTGGGAGAACGCAGGTGAGGCCGGTTGCATGCCGGTACTGGAACTATGTCAACGAGTCGCAACGCACCAAAATGTATCGATGTCAAGGGTTTGCGAAGTGCGAGCGACAGCTGCCTACAATCTTATCCGCATAGTCTTCTAAACATTGATGTAGTCCACTGGAATTGACAACGCGGGAGTGCGGGGGTAGAAATTTTCTGCCTGCACGATTGGTTGGCATTTCATATGTTAGAAATTGCTCGGCGACACCTTTAGAACTGTCACTTCAGGTGACGCGCTGATTCTCTTCGTATGCGCCCTGTGCAAACATATCTGTACAAGTTTGGTAAACAATGAAAAATTGAGACGACACTATCAGATGGTCTTTGGGTGAGCTTTTTATCCCTCCACCCTAGATTTCAAATCGTGGACCGATACGCTGTGCATTCTAATTAAGCGTCGCCGCCACCAACCATGCCTTACGCATGAGATAAACTTCACATAGGATGAGAGACGCCTGTAGCAACTTGACAGGTGACTAGTTGCGACATGGAGAAATGTCGTGGGTTTTTATCGACTACTAAATGGAACAGCTAATGTTTGACCTGTTGTATGAACCTAGAGCGGAGGCTTTCACCGGGTTTATTTTGAGCCTCGAATAGCAGTAGATAGTAGGTACATTAGTGGTTTTAGAAGAGATCCGTGGCATGCAGTTCCAGGTTGAATAGAGCGTCACATATTCGGCAGAAACACCAGGTAACTGGTTTGTCCAATTGGAACTCATTAGCAACACTCCTTCTAATATCATTTTGGGAGCTCAATCTAAACTCTTATACACGGATAACACTAGCCCATACCATTAAGCCCTGTGCGAGGGTGGCTGACCACCATGACTGATTAACAGCCATGGTGGAACTCGAATCCCTTCCACTACCATTCGTGTTGCGAACATGCTTCGGACAAGGATAGCCCCAAGAGATACAAGTTCCGGACCAGTTTTGAGACGGATTATAAGAGACGTCCACCCGCCATCCAGCAGTCAGTTGCTCAATTTCCTCTCAATCGAGTACTTAAGGTAGCCTGACATACAACTGTAATAGTACTCCGACTGATACCTTTTATGCTTCCCTGCTCATCAACAGCTGCTGAACCTCAGCTCATGCGTGCAGAAAAATTTCGTGGTCAGCCTCGCACTACTCAGGCGAGGTCAGTGTTCCGTTTCTTCCAACCTGTGTGCATGCAAGCCTGATGACCTATTAGTGGGTTAACCTTTTGCAAATGAATTGCTCGTTTATTGTTCTCTGTATGTAACTTTACCACGGCTGTTACAAATTCTCCAAATCTTAAGTTAGCCCACTTTGTCGTGTTGCGCTGCGTAATCCAAGAAGAAAGTCTGCGCCGTGATCACGAAATCATTATTAGGAAGACCTGCGGTTAGTTATAGATTACATATAGTATTTCGATTATGTCCGTACACTGGCTGGCACTCTTGCACTGGTCTGTAACGTCAGTCGCGTATCATTAGCATGTGCACGTCCGTCACACGATCCACGCTTACAGAGCTCAAGTTTACACTGGGCCTAGCTGTTACCATCATGGATAGACTGCTGGGTGACGTCTGACTGTCGGTCAGTTAATTTAATCGATAATCCCACTGTCGGCTGTTACTTGTGTTACTGACAGGATCTCAGGCGTATGCCATCCACTAGCCGTACGGCCGACTAATACGCTTTTCTGTTACACTCAACCGAAAGCAGAACAACAGTATTGCAAATGGAAGTTTAGTAGAAGCAATGGCAATAGTACATCAGCAGTCCACACTGGGTACAGAGCAACTGTTTAGTTTTTAAGCAAGTCACATGTCTTAGCTAAGTACTCGCTGGTTAGTCGGGAGATGGACACTCACGTACTAGCGCACACAATGCAGCTCCGCAGGCTAGGTAGTGTGGCATGACCTTGACGCGCTCAACGTCCGTATCACCGACCAATCGACTTTGCTTTGTTTTCGTCTGACTGTTCATCAGTACCGCATCGATTCCACTCGCCCCCGGTCTCAGCTACCATCACACCTTTTCCTTTTACGTTTTTACGACAATGTCGCAATATGTTCTGTACTGTCTTCCAATGTGTGTACGCCTACTGCCTTGGGTTGGTGTAACGGGTATCCTATGCTGCTGCCGCTATTGCCAGTCCACGCTTTGCGGTGTCATCCCGTGACCTGCTGCTTTTGTTGTTTAATGCGTTTGCTCTCTATACTGACTTCATAACTCGGTTAACCATTCGACAGTCCTCAGGGACTCTTGGAACTAACTCTTTGCATGGCGTATTTGTCTCGCGGACAAAGACGTTTGAGTACTGCTTACCAAGCACGCATGCCTTGTCATAGTCGCTATAGGCATGGGTCCCATCTCCTCGAAGCAATGTTGGAATGGGCGAGTTTGCACCACAGCGTCGTTTAACGTAAGCAAAGAATCTCTTGGGATTTTTCGAAGCAGTATGAGCTAAGCCCTTCTCATACTGAAGCCGGGCCAACCTAAGATGTAGCTTGCACTCATTTCGAACCAACCGATATTTGTCAAACGTGCCGTTTGACGGAGCTGTTCGGTAAGCTCGCCAGCATCTAGACCGCTTCTTTAGCAGGCCCTTCCCCGCGGAATCTATCCACGGAGGCTGCGCTCTCGATTCCCTTCTTTTTACCAGTGGGAAGTGAGGTGCAGAAATGTCGACGAGGTGAGCCTTAAGCTTTTCCCAGGCTATATGAACAGTGTCGGTATCAGATATCACACAAGGCGATGACCTAGCTCTATCCCGCATCGCTTGGAAGTCCGCGGCCCAAATGTTCGGATACCAACTGGTAGTAGCTTGGCAAGACCTGATAAGAGCACACTGGAAAGACAAGCAAACGTGATCGCTAGCGCCAAGAGGCGAGTCATATTTAATGTCATTTACAAAGTCAAGTGACTTAGCAAAAACAAGATCTAAAATGGACGGCTGCTGATTGCTCATGTACCTAGTGGGGAGGTCCACGAACTGGTGTAGTGGTACCTGCAGCGTCAAGTCCAGCAGTTCTGTACCGAACGATTCCAGCGTCGAACTGCAAGATAGATCATCCCAACAAACATCTGGGAGGTTAAAGTCTCCCAGCACCAGACACTTGTTCGCAGAGTGAGTGCGTATAAAGTCAATGATTCCACTGGAGGTGCTCATAGGGCTTCTATACACTAACACAACCGTAACCTGAACCGAGGAAGCGCAAATCAAGACTGCGAGAGCCTCAACAGATTTGTCGAGAGACTGAAAAACGCTGGTCCTCAGTACGTCGATGTGATAACTCACATAAAGAGCTACACCACCCCCTTGACGGCCAATGGAGCGATCAGCGCGAAACAGTGCGTAGCCAGGCAGATATACTTCATACCATGTCCAACCATTGCTGCAGAATCTGATTATGGCCAAGTCGCCTGAGTAGTACTTGGTTCTTTCTATACTTGCTTGTTCACACTAACTACTGATGACGATTGTGCTGAACACACAGCCTGGGATAACCCTTTTGTTTGCGGCATCTCTGTTCTGTTGTTTGTGTCCCTGATCCTCGGACAATGCCACAACTTTTATCTTCTTGGGATTTCTACCAGTGTGATGCTGGCCATCTGTGCCGTTCTATGCATGCAAACTGCGGAAGTTAATCCTTCGTGTAAAAATCATCATTCTTACTTTCCATTCGTCTTAGTTCCTTATTATAAAAGGGCTGGAACCAGACATCGAGGGACGGTGGTTAGTTAGACTTCTTGCAGAGGTGTTATCACAGACTGGATTCTCACCAATAGGGGTGGCTTTCGATTGTCCTTAACTATTTCAGCTGTCAGATTTTTCTGTAGTCTGTATTTTTCCAGTCTATACAACTGCCAAATCTCCCTATTTCTATCATATTACCAGAGCAGACTTCAAGCATGGTGTGTGAGATGAGGACTGAACAACGAAGAGAGATTGTTGAAGTTACATTTTCCACTGTGACCCACCGATTCCATTGGCAAAACTGCAACCTTTCCCACATAATGAAACTATAATGCCATTCTGAAGTAGCCTTGTGCAGGATCAGTGTGCTCCGAGAAAAGATGATGATTAGGGAAATATTTAGTGTTGCTCATCCCAACACTGGCACTCCACGACCGCGGTTCCGTCTTGGTTTGAACTCATCAGGTGAAGAAAGTCTTAGTTGGAGTGGAAATCAAAGCCTAGGGGTTCACGGCTGACGCCATAAACACTATGCCAATGAGGTCCGCGTGCAACGCTTGGTACAGCGAAAAGGAATTCAAAGTTGGACTTGGAGCATCCGCTGTGTGTTTGGGTTGCTACAAGCAACCTCTATTGAGACCTCGGTTAACTTGAGGTGCACCTCGGTCATGCCGATCACAAGGACGGTATGTGAAATGGAAATGTTTTGGTGTTGCTCATCCCAACACTGGAACCCCACGAGCGCCGTTTTGTCCTGGTTTGAACTCCTAAGGTGGAGCTAGCCTGAGTTGGGGGTGGAAATCAGAGCCTAGTGATTCACGGCTGACGACATAAACACTATGCCACTGAGATCCGCGAAGAACGCCTAATGCTGATTGCGGGTTTTGCAACTGTTTTGACTGCACGTTAACTTTGGACCAGACATTTTCCTACTTTTCTAAACTTGGTTTTCTCCTGAAGCAGACGCCTATGTTGGTGTTGTCACGTTACATACCTATCTGCGGAAGAACACGATTTTGCACCAACTTCCGTGGCATAAGACAGCGTCGTGTTTGCTCTAGGGTCATTGCAAGATCTAAAAGCTGATGTAATAAGCCTCAGTAATAATTCATCGAATTCAACGTTTAGCTGCGTAGTCACTCACCCACTCGTAGGTGCGCGGTGTACACCGTTGTTGGTGTAGCACTCGTAGGTCTTTCCCACTTGTTGAACAAGGAAACCTTGTATTCCCCTTCTATTACTCTTATACAGGCCAATTCAAGGTGAAAGTGCAGATGACGAGAAAAGAGGAAAAACCTTCCTTGATCTACAAAACATTTTGCAGTTTGCCGATGGTGGGTTTGGATTTGACAAGAATGCATACAGGGTGAGTCGAAAGTACTTACTTGTTTGGGCCGGCGTTACGTTGTAATGCTTGGATATAGCTTGGTGATCCCAAGTTATTAACTGGAGTACTCCTTGCATGCTCGAATCGCCATATGATTTTGTATAACCGTATGGTATTTTTCCGGATTGTATCTATTCAAATCAGTTGAGAAATGTGAATCATTGTGCTCCTTCTACCCATTTGGTCAACGCAGACAGAAGACAAAAGGTTGCGATTTAGTAACATTTCGATTACTCACATCAGCCGCAAACATAATCCATTTGGGTAAAAATGTAACGTATGTGCATGTGGAACGAAATTATTAGGGTACGTCAAATTTGAGCAATACAAGACCAAGGCCAGCTGCCAGATTGCCTCAGTTGCTTTTGCGCACACAGTACCGGCCGGTTTACCGCAATCAGTAATGCCTCACTGACTGCCAGCATTTTCGACTTGCGGTTGAGCAATAGCCCTTTGAAGGCCTTCGATGGATTCACTTGATGGCCTGTCATCAAGAGGTATTTTGTAATAGACGTGGCGGGATTCCAACTCTCCAGTTGATCCTTCACTCCATGTTGTATCATGGATTGCTACAACACTTTTGGGAAATGCTCAGCCACCCTTTGGGCCAGTCCCCGTTCGGTCCTACCTATACGTTAGACGTCACCGCAACTGCAGGTGAACTGGTAATTAATATGAGAGGCCATACCGACTGGCGTACTGTCCGGACGGAAGTTGAGCTCCAGTCTCCGTGTTGTGGATCCGTAGACACGCGGTATTATAAGTGCGCGTTACAGCATACCCAATTTTATGCACAATTTCATTTGAAACATTGTCCCCTTTGAAAGGTAGAATTAAAAAGGCATCATTTTTTCACCGTTTGTACTGGTAGCTTCTCTTTGTAAAGAAATAAATTTCTCCGGATACCCGTTTGATAAAAGACTCCTATGTATGAACTGCTCTTCACTCTGTAGCATCCCTGGACTGCAAAAATGCTTGCGTCTGTAGTAAAGGGTTCTGACGAGATCGCGTTTGTATGCAACCGGTGCGAAGCTGGTGAAATGCATGTATTGCACACTACAAGTTGCTTTACGGTAGACAGTGCGTTTGCGACTGATGAGATTAATCGAAATGTTAACATATCGCAACCTTTGTCTTCTGTCTGCGTTGACCAAATCAGTTGAGTTGGTCTCATCCTGAGAATATAGCAGTTCACAATTGATTACACCCATAACGCAATCGCCTTTATCCGTAGTGCAGCAGCTTGCATCCTTATCGCAAAGACTTTGCTCCGATACTCAAGAAAATTGTATCCCCTACTCCCTGAGTGGTCAAGCGCTCTCAGCCAATATGCCGGCATGGTTGTTTGGGCTAGGCACACCTGAGACACATAGCCGCCGGTCGATGTCTTGCTACATGGACGTCAACTATCCGCTCGTATAAGTACGCATCAGAATTGGACAACAAGGGGGGCGGAAACAGGAGCTTGCTTACGGACTGGTTCCAAAATCCAACGCCTGGGATGTGAAGGCGAGGTTAGCACAGTTTTGGTGTACGTAGGTGTAGCAGTGAACATGTCCGGAACACAGGGGCACGTCCGTTGCAAATGGAATCAAAACGGTCCCACTTAAAGGGCTTGAGTGAGCAAGCCATATGTTCCTTTGGATCAAGACAAGTGAGGCACGGATTGTAAACGCTAAATGCTTAGGAATCGGTGTGCGATACGCATATCCACCGGTTGTCCAAATTCAAGGACGGAACAAACTGCAGATCCCAGAAAATAAACTCTCGAGCCGGAGCTGAACCATACTGCCCATGATTATTCAAAAGCCCACAGTCGGTAGGATGATGGTGCCGTTGGATACCAAAAACGGTTTCCTCACATACAAACTTGCAAGCAAACCTTCGGTTGACACTGCAATAGACTGATCACGACAATAAACACAGCCAGACAATGCGTAACAAAATGCAATAAGCTATTACAGATCGGTTGGCTCGAAGTCAATCTTGTAAGCTAACAGCGATTGGCCGGTCAAAATTGTACCAATAAAACAGCGATTGATACAAGATAGGCAGGTAAATTGTCTGTCCGACGTAGCTAGATCAATGCGATTATGACCGCGTCGGCTGACTCAGGCTATCTGTAATTCATACATGCCATGCTCTGAATGCCGTGTAAAATAACGTGGGCGAAGTTAGCAGAAGTTGCAGTCTCGGTAAAAATGCCAGGCACCATAGAATCGGCACGGATAGAGTGGGGACCTCGCTCGGTTGAGGTGGGAAGACCGCTCCGAAGATCGCGGCTTGTGTGCGGCGACTGTCTGAACCAGAACAGGGGTGGAAGCGTTCTGGATCATCTCAGAGTCGTGTTTCAGCTTGCTCAGCGCTTGACGCTCAGGCAGCTTATGGAATATGACTGTGTCATCCTGCTGCAGTTTGGACTGGAGGCTCGTTCGGATCTCTGCATCATAGACGAACTGAAGGCCAAAAATGAACACCAGTCTTCTGTGAGGGGGCTAAGTTGAAACCGTTCACACTCCTGATTGTGGATGCCTGTATACGTGATCAAGTCATCGGCATCCTGTTTGATTACCTGGAGTCATTGGAACTGCGTGTTGAACCGCGAGGACTGTCCGTCAAACAGCTGTGATATCCTGCGGAGCATCTCGTCAAAGGCATCATCCCGGGGGTTCTTTGGCAAGATGAGGTTGGTATACCGTTATTGCTCAACCGTGTCAACTTTGTGCAGAAGCAGTCAGACTTTCCAAGCGTCATTCTGGCAGGCCAAGTCAACAGTGAATTGGTCCTTGTACCATTTACACCAAGCATCGAAGGTTATTTGAGCGCTGGGAGCTTAGAGGAACCCCGAGATCCTGCCAGCGATATTATCGACCCATTGTGAATTAGCAGCGGAACCTGGCTGAATGGAAGAACTGGAGAGTTTCGCGGTTAATGCGGCCATAAAACGGAGCTACTTTTGAAACAGCACCTTAAAATCTTTGTACGCAACTTCCATGCTTCGAAAAACCCCATTGCCACTTTGTTATTACTTGGTCCTTGGTCACACCGTGTGTATTACAGATTGGTACGACTCTCCTAGGATGATGAACGAGCGTGAGGTAGTATGGTACCTCACACTGAAAGCAGCTGACAGAATTCGACTTCACACAACCCGGGAGACTTGGACACTACACGGTTCTAGGTACACAGTTAAACCGAGCATTAACATCAATCGGGACTCTGACCCAGAGAGATGAGAACAAAGGACAGACCCTTCGCGTCAGGCACTTTACTCGCCAGACCAAGCAATTACAGGGTAACCCAACCTTGCTTAAATACAATGATTGGTGAAATGGGATTTTAATATAGAATGGTAAGCAAGCAACGGTAAATGACTGGTTGCGAATAGCAAGCGAGGTTAAGCTCTGCGATCACACGTTCCAACTTAGCATGAAAATGGATTTCTTGCTCTTGAGGCTTCTTGATCGCAGACCACTGCTGCACGAACTCATGCTGCAAAATAAATGTATAGCCCTGTAGTTCACTCCTGATTTGCGACTACCCTCTGACCCAGCGGTAGCTTAGCCGAAGAAACTCACCAGGGTGACTGTTGGTGACTTGACAATACTCACTTGACTGGTCACCAATTTGGAGTAAAAATTCTCTACTTTCCTACAGGACACTTGCAACAACACCTGTGTATTTCCTTCACAAACACCCGTTCGCGCGTATAATTCCTGATTCAGTTGCTATCATCGCCCACTCTTTTTGGGGTTACTTTGCGTAACAGATAGCTTGCTGATCACTGTTCACTAGCTGGTCACTGTGAGTACTAAACACTTCAGTGGGAATGCGGGCAGTTCTTCTCATGTGAATGTTAAGTGCTGCATACTTACAATGCAATGTTGCTGGTGGGCAGCACCTCGCATTAATCCGCCTCAGATGCGGTCCCATTGATCGAATTGACCAGTTCCCTTCAAAATGTTTCGCGCCCTCAACCGGGATTATGTGTCACGATCAGTTCAAACAACCAGTATTTCAAAGTAGCTCACACCTCGTCGTTCTTGTATTTAACAAATTACACAATCGCTAGGTCAATTGCATCCATATTAGGGTCAACTTTCTCCCTAAGAAACTCGTGTTCTTCCGTAAATCACTCAAGGTCGTTCGCACTTGTCAAATCGCATCCAGCGCGCCTGCGTGCATGTACTCGCTTTAGGTGCACATTGATTGAGGTACAAACAATCTTAGGAGACTTACAGAAGGGCATCATTTTACTACGAAACGAGCAGTGCTGCACCCGCTGGGACTCGTCAGATATAAACTAACCTCAAACACTCACAAGATTTAGTAATACACTCTTATCCAATCCATGCATAGTGTTGTTGCCCTGACCGACTGGACCTGCGTATTAACCTGCCCGAGAACATGTGCTGCCTGCGTGACTACCTGACAATCGTTGTCACGATCAATAGTTTCTGTTAAAACGGTGCGCATCAGCTCTAATTGTTCGAGTTGTCCTTAACGGCACCGACAGTCTTTGTGCTTTCAAATTCACAAACATTAAGGAAAAATCATTTCACTCCTCCAATTGTATCCTCCTGCGAAGCCAGATACGGATCTAGTCCAAATCTTGGAGGGTAGTCAAAGCTAGCATGCAAATAGAATTTGCCTTAGAGATCTCTCACAACGAGACTCAGTCAGACAACTACTGCAGCCCGATAAAGCACCGCTATTTCAACCTTTCTAGGATCGTCAGCAGTGCGCATTCCATCTGTACACTGCGGCTAGGATCTGCAACCCAGTAGCCAAGCGTCCGTGATTAGGGCCATCGGAATCAGCGGTGCCAGGCATAGCTTTTCAAATATCTAAAAATATACCCAGGACCTGTCATCCCTATATGAATGAAGCGAAGGTAGGAAAATGAGGCTTTCGGCAGACAAACTCGGGTACTTTGTCACAGGCACAGTATAACCGAAGTACTCTTAATAGTACCCCCATCGCAAGTGCTTATTCCGTTGGGGACCTGGGAAACAGAAACCCTAGCAGCTTCGACTTCTCCGGACACATCGCACACCACGTAGCGGAAGCGAAGCAGTTAAAATGCTGCACCCCTATGTCAATTTTACCATTCCAAAGACAACTTGAATTATTCAAACTCACAGTGCGACCCACTCTTGAGTACTGCAGAATCATACATACCCACTTAGGCAAAACATTTAGAATTGCTTTGGAAAATGTCAAGTGCTCATTTACCAAAATGATTTCGAAGCGCTCATCAACGCTTAATTATGAGGAACGATGTCCTTATCTCCAGCTTGGCCCACTCAGGCCTCGACGGCTGAGAAACACTGTCACTCTCCTCTACAGTATACTATACTTGCGGGTCCTCTAAACTAGCACGGCTGTCATCTTAGAAAATGGCTGAACCTCTCCCACTCACAGTGGGAGTTGTCTACTATTCTTACGGCGGAGCAGAAAAAATATCCGCCTACATTTCTTCTTGGTGACGTAGGCTCATCTGTGGAATAAACTACGGTGGCAATCAGGGACAAACCATCCCGTCTATAGTTCGGGCACATTTAAGGACCTTCCTTTCCATGTTAAATGTGGTCAAACTTGCCTACTTTCAGCAATCCACGAATGCACCCATGGTAACCGGCTCGAAAAAGATGTGACAAAACTAGCATCCAAAAATTAAACCTATTACGTACTCTACAAAACATTGTGTCACCGCTTCTTATTGTATGGAAACTTATAAATGGGCTGTTGACAAAACTCGCTGTAAAAAGGGACCAGCACACAAAAAGCAAAAGTCTCACCGGTTTATTTTCGATACCTATTTATGTATTTTGCTCTAATGTGCTCACTGAGCCTCTGCTTCCATACGTTTTTCCGAATTTACCAGCGCTGAATAGCTAACTATGCTGTCTAGCCGCGTTTGCTTTATATGTTAATGAATTCATTGTACCAAATTTCTATTATTATTCAGTCAGTTAGACTTTCGTAATACGAACATCACGAAAATGGTGCAGGAGTACAACACCAAGCTCTCTGCTTACTGAGGCATTTCCAAAGGTAGGCGGATAATTGAACAAGGAAGTACGTGAATAAACTCACACCTTCACTCTTAGAGGTGCACTCGATAGGTTAAGTGGTCTATGACAAGTCTGTCTCTATTGTGGCTGGTACGAAGTAAATATACCTAACCCAGACGAACATCCGCCTTGGCTACTGATAGAATTTAATCCTAGGCGGTCAACTAGCTAAAGCGAATATTGCAACTTGCTCTGTGGGATTCGGAATGTTCTCTACGCTGAAGGGATAATTGCAACGCTTCCGTTGTACTATTGAGCAGGTGGTCAGGAAATTAGACAACTACCAGTTTTCATACAACTAGTTATTTGCGATCGCCAGGCACCATCAAACATTATACTATGGAGACTATAAAGGCTAAAAACCAAGTGCTACCACTGCAGTATATTTTTGCCGCTTAACTAGAGACTAGTTACTAACTCAGAAGGCTAGACACTAATCTAACTGCTAATATTGTACAGCTACTAATGATACATACACGAGGGTGACTTATGTGCTTGTGTGATGCCTTTGCGTCCAATTCCAATTGCGCTGCGGTTGCGAAGATGGCTGCCTCGGGTCTTGAGCACGTCCCTTGTCCCGTCCTTCCGATTGTGTGTTGCGTCAACGTGACAAGTATATGCGCTTTGCATGGGTGTGCGATAAGGTGCATCCTCAATCGCCCATGTTTGTCACGTACTTGACGCGCCGACTTGGCAGTGGATAGAGGTCATGCTGTTTTGACGCCGGCTTGGGTCACGTGGTATAGATCACGTGGTGTGTGAATTAGGCTTCACCGTTTGTTGGGCTACATGAATATACAGTTGCAAAAAGGACTGTTTTGATAACGTAGTAAACGGACCTAACACAGTATTCCTGAACTTAATGCTGTCACTTTAGTTGCTAACAGTACTGTTTTGATCCTAACTCGATTCTGTTTGGACGCATTATGGTATTTGGCGTAGAAAACTTCTGCACAGGTGCCCAACTTCGCTAACATTTCAAAGTAGCTAGGGTGCCATGGGACATTTTTGACATGTTATTGTATTTAATGCACCCCAACTTGTTTTTAGTACTCAGTACGATCCCGCCGGTGAGTTCCATTTATGAACAACCTCTACTGCTTTAGTACGCCTTATTCTTTCTCATACACACTTTAGTTCAAGAAAGAAAAGGTCCTCATAGATGAGGTTGTGCAAATTTTGACGATGCCGTCTGCATTTCGAACACCAGCGATGCTTCAAACCGCCAGAGTAGCTGTGTTAGCAGCCGCCGAATCCTTTGCCGATTTTCCATTGGATATGCAGACACAAATAATCTCACGATCCTGGTATGAAAGGTGAGTTCAAGGACAGCTGCCCCGAGTTCCACCACGTTGAGAATATTCCGTTTATTATCAGTTAACGATCCATCATTCTTTGTGTTTGAAATTGTCTAAAGGGTGATGGTGCTTGAAAATATGAGTCTGATACATTTTCACCTGTGTCGTTCAACACCTGAATGAACACCGAGTCCCTGGTTGGTCTGCGCGTAAATCATTATACTCACTCTATTGTCTCCCCGTTATTCTAACTTAATTTCTGGATACAAGCCTGTGCCCGAAGCCATCCGTCGTGGGCAAATTCGCTGCTGATCTATCGAGACAGAACGGGTACGGATATTCTTTCCGGTTAAACATTGTTCGATTATCACAAGTTTGTATTTGACTCAGCCTGAGGAGGTTGTAGGATATAGCCTGTATGTTGTCCTCCGTATGATTCACTGTCATTAAATATTTTGTAGGTATCCTTACTCACTGAATGTCCAACTGCCGTCATCTTTTACTTACAAAAACAGCTCAAAATTGTGCGTGGTGGCACATCCCGGGTGCAGGTTAGTGGAAACGCGACTCGTACAGAGCCGGCCTACACTTTAATGACATTCGCAGCGGTAACTAGAGATATTACCACAGCGTGATGCATGCACTATAACTATGTAAACCCCTAAGGTCTTTGCGCGTTTAGTGAGTGTTTGGTCGTGTGGAGTTTGTGTGGTCAGTTTTGCACTGCTGAAGACTTGGGGAAACCTATCCACTCTGCATGCATAGGGCGGTGGTTTTGTTGTTATTCGTGCTTCTATGAGAACCGCTGTCTCGATGATCGTGTAATTTGTGTGCACAAAAATTCTTAGACAGTCAGCAACCGGATGGTGAAATCTGATGATGGCTTGCAGCGTTAAAACACATCTTACGCCATCAAACTCGCCGTTTTACTCGAACACCAGTAACGTTTTATGTTTGACCCCACAGTAACCATGTGCAACGTCCGCCATTTGAACAAAATTGTTTGGAAGCATTAACTCTTGAACGCATTCGTGTTCACCTAACTGACAAGCACATCTCCGGTGAAATCCATTCTTACCTGCACTGAAGTTAACCATTTCCTCTCGGTTGAGTTGCGTCCGACCAAATGTGGTGACAACAATGGTAATTACCTTGAAGTTCTGCAGGTTTCGCTAACTGTGAACCGATAACACCTATCTAAACGCATAGTCTAGGCTGTAATAATAAAGATAGTATACCGATCGAGTTGTTCTGAAATGACCGTGGTTCTACATTATACTTAATAAACTACAATGAAAACGTACAGTTCGGGAATTGGTGAAGAGACTCGCAAGTATAGAGAAATATTTCCCTGGGCTTATTGCAAAATATCCGAGCTCGTTCAATTGGGAAATATGTGAGGCGTTAAAACGATGCATCCGCATACCTGTGATTACCCCATGTTGAGACAACTACTTCATCTGCGCACACCAAGCTGCACGCGAGGACACCGGTATAAACTTATCGTCCCGGATTAGAAGCGGGTCGCCCATCAACTCTGTTTCGAACGCAGAGTGGTGAATGTCTGGAACGACCTGCCTCAGCATATAGTAGAAGCGAACACAGTGTCTAAATTTAAGATGCTACTAGACCAACAATTTGCAGAGGCAAAGTACAGAGAGCGAAACGATGAATAAAAAGTTCATGTCCGAAAACGACGAATGATGCAGCTACACAGAGAAATCTCTACTCGCTGCTTCCCACCAGTTCTTAGTTCTCATTAGCATCATCAATCTTCATCATCATCATCAACAACATCATCATCATCGTCATCATCATCATCATCATCATCATCATCAATCATCATCATCATCATCATCATCATCATCATCATCATCATCACCATCATCATCATCATCATCATCATCATCATCATCATCATCATCATCATCATCATCATCATCATCATCATCATCATCATCATCATCATCATCATCATCATCAACATCATCATCATCGGCATCATCATCATCATCATCCTCATCAACATCATCATCATCAACATCATCATCATCATCATCATCATCAACATCATCATCATCGTCATCATCATCATCGTCATCATCATCATCATCGTCATCATCATCATCATCGTCATCATCATCATCATCCTCATCATTATCGTCATCATCATCATCATTCATCATAACTTCTGTATCTCTTAATTACACTGATTTGCTAGTGTGGATCGTACTTATTTTTAAGATGACGAAGCGGTCTCCTTGTGGAATTTGCTGCTAGATCGTCGGACATAGAGCTAATGCGATTTCTTGCAGTATCTGCAGCGCAAAGCTTCATATTTCGTGCGTTGGTCTGACTGTAGACCAATTTCGTATAATTCAGGGCATTAAGAGCGAATTTTTGAAGACCGTTTGTAAGCAATGCCAAGCTAATCTTGTGCAGAAGAAAACGGACACGTCTAACAAGCGGATCAGCACAACGAAGTGCTCTAGAATGCCCAGCTCGCCTTGTGCTTCACCACAGTCAGTGAAGCAGCCAACGCCTAGTACCTCATCGCATCCATCGCGGAAACAAGGTACTAAAGTTCCATCAGACTCTCCCTCAAGACCTACTATATGTTCAGCTGACAGTAAAGTTCCAATTTGCAATAAACAAATTGAGGATAACGATTGGAGAGTACAAACATCGAAGAAACCAAGACCAATATCTAATGACCTGAGGCGCCGTAGCCTCATGGTCTTTTACGCACCTGAGTCAGGTGATTCTAATCCTCAGGTGCGTTATGCACATGACGTCGAATATTTGCAATCATTGATTGACAAACTACTCGATGTAAATGAGGACGGGCTCAAAGTGCAGCAGATCGCCCGTCTAGGAAAGAGAATGGAGGGCAAAAGTCGGCCCATGAGGGTGACATTTGCCGAAGAAGCAAGTACCAAGTTACTATTGTCTCGCCTTAATAGGCTGAAGGGTATGAAGATCCACGTGCGCGCTGACTTAGAACCGGCAGACAGAGAGAAACTCAAGTCTGCCATGATTGAACTAAAGCGGCGCACGGAGGATGGAGAAACAAACCTCCGTATTGTAAATTTTCGAGTAGTTGCCCGGGTTCCTCCACGAATCCGGATCAACAGGTTTCTAATACTTCAGGCGCGCCCAGCGGGTCCTACCGCGGTCTGCGCGTAGCCTTTACTAACGTATGCAGTTTGATGAACAAGCGCGATGTGCTGTACGACTTCGTAAGCTCTCAGCGACCGGACGTATTAGGCCTTGCTGAGACATGGTTAAACTCCGAGGTAAACGCCCAAGAAGTGGAAATCACCGGCTACTCATGCTTCCGCTGCGATAGACCATCAAATGATCGCGGTGGCGTTCTACTTTACATAAAGTCTTCCTTGTGTGGGAGACTAGTGAGCGCCTATCAAAGCGCTGATGGTCTATGTGAGCAGTTATGGTGTTCGATACACCTCAGACGCTGCGAGTTGCTCGTGGGCGTGGTATATCGCAGCCCACTGAGCCGCAGTTTGGACTGGTTGCCGCATGTCCGCAACCACATGAGTCGTCCGATGTTCCTACTCATGGGCGATTTCAACTTGCCCCGAATACAGTGGCCTGAAGCTGAACTTCTCCCCGGCCACTGTGAAGTCGAGAGGAAGTTTACGGAGTTGATATTTGAAACCGCGGCCACACAGCACATCAACCAACCGACACGCATTACAGCGCGCGCGACTCCATCATGCTTAGACCTGCTGTTGACTAGCTGTGAGCAGCGTGTACATAACATTCAAGTCTTAGAGCCTCTGGGAGCGAGTGACCACTCAGTGATCATAGGCAGTTTAGAACTACCGCTACCGTATCCTCTCCCACTAGAGTCAGCCTTCAACTATTGGAAGGCGGACTTTAATGGCCTCATTCGAGCAGCGAGCCAGATAGACTGGTCTTTACCACAGGATTCATCTATTGAAACCTGTTGGGCTATCATTAAAGAGGGAGTGAAATCGTTGTGCGCCCGATTTGTGCCCCTCAAATTTCGGAAAGTTGGGCCAGTCAAACCACATTGGTTTGACAAAGAGTACAACAAAATGGCCCGACGGCGACGTAGACTATGGAACAAATTCGTGTTATCTGGCTCTGATGAGGACTACAATGCGTACAAGGTACAACGAAATCGCTGCAACAACGCGAAAACAAGCAAACGCAGAAGCTTCGAAGAGGAGCTTGCAACTGCCGCAAAAACTGCTCCCAAGAGGATCTTCGCATATGTGAAGCGGCGCCTAAGGCCTATAGCTAATATCCCAGTGTTAGAAGGCTCAGAAGGACAGCCCCTAACCTCGAGTACAGATCGTGCGTCAGCATTGGCAACGCACTTCGCCTCCGTATTCGCAAGTGACCAGGTGTCTGTAATGAGTTCGACGAGCACCGCTCCAGCCGAACTTAACAGCCTGGACTGCAATATTGAGGATGTACGCAAGATTCTAGCAAATCTTGACGGGACGAAACCTGCTGGGCCAGATGGTATACACCCACTAATCCTCAAGTCATTATCGACCATAATTGCACCTTCTGTAACTGAACTGTTTAACAGGTCACTATCCACTGGTCTACTACCGGACGACTGGAAATGCTCAGTCGTAAAGCCTATCCCGAAAGGTGGTAACCCAAGCAAAGTGGATAACTACCGGCCGATCTGCCTGACGGCAGTTTTGGCAAAGACGCTCGAGAAGATCGTGAAGAAGAGCCTTCTGCAACTTCTCGAGTCGAAAAACCTGTTAACCTCCGCACAGCATGGTTTCCTGAAAGGTCGTTCGTGCATCACCAACCTACTGTTGACGAGGCACGAATGGTTACAAGCGCTGAACAAAGGCCAATCGGTTGACGTCATTTACATTGACTTCAGTAAGGCTTTTGACAAGGTTAACCATGCAGTGCTCCTTGACAGACTGAGGATGTGCGGTGTTGGTGGTTCGCTGCACAAATGGATCAGAAATTTCCTTATTGATCGGAAGTGGAGAGTCCAGGTGGACAACCATCTAACTGACTGGTATCCATCGAGCAGCGGCGTGCCCCAAGGCACTGTACTGGGACCGATATTGTTTCTAATCCATATAAACGATGTGCCTCAGCTACTACAATCACATTGTGCTTTGTTCGCAGATGACTTGAAAGTGTGGAGAGTAATCCGCACACTCAATGATTGCGATTTACTTCAGCAGGATCTCGACCGCCTCTCAACATGGTCTGCAGAGGTTAACCTTCCGATCAACCCTGCTAAGTCGCAATTATTGAGGTTGGGTAAGTGTGAGCACAGCCGAACGTACACAGTGGCTGGTCAACCGTTGCATCCCGCTCCTTTCGTGCGCGACCTCGGTGTACTCTCACGCTGCGACCTAAATTCCATTGACAACACGAATAGGCTGTACCAAAACAGCCTTCGTATGCTTTGGGCTCTCAGGCGCAGCTTTAGCACTTGGTCCGAAGAGATTGCCACTCGCCTCTTCGTCTCGATAATACGACCAATGCTAGAGTACGGCACTCCCGCATACTGTCCCATCACCCGGGGCGAAGTAGAAAAGCTTGAGCGGGTGCAGCATGTAGCCACCAGGCTGATTCCCAACTTACGAGGTATGCCATACGAAGACCGATGTAAGAAACTAGGGTTATACACCCTATCTTATCGTCGGCTGAGGGTTGACCTCATCATGACGCACCGGATATTACATCTGGGTGATTACCCCATGTTGAGACAACTACTTCATCTGCGCACACCAAGCTGCACGCGAGGACACCGGTACAAACTTATCGTCCCGGATTTGAAGCGGGTCGCCCATCAACTCTGTTTCGAACGCAGAGTGGTGAATGTCTGGAACGACCTGCCTCAGCATATAGTAGAAGCGAACACAGTGTCTAAATTTAAGATGCTACTAGACCAACAATTTGCAGAGGCAAAGTACAGAGAGCGAAACGATGAATAAAAAGTTCATGTCCGAAAACGACGAATGATGCAGCTACACAGAGAAATCTCTACTCGCTGCTTCGCACCAGTTCTCAGTTCTCAGTTCTCATCATCTCATCATCATCAACATCATCATCATCATCGTCATCATCATCCTCGTCATCATCATTATCATCATCATCATCATCATCATCATCATCATCATCATCATCATCATCATCATCATCATCATCATCATCATCATCATCATCATCATCATCATCATCATCATCATCATCATCATCATCATCATCATCATCATCATCATCATCATCATCATCATCATCATCATCATCATCATCATCATCATCATCATCATCATCATCATCATCATCATCATCATCATCATCATCATCATCATCATCATCATCATCATCATCATCATCATCATCATCATCATCATCATCATCATCATCATCATCATCATCATCATCATCATCATCATCATCATCATCATCATCATCATCATCATCATCATCATCATCATCATCATCATCATCATCCTCGTCATCATCATCATCAACATCATCATCAATCATCATCATCAGCGTCATCCTCACCACCACCATCCTCCTCCTCATGATCATCATTAGCTCCAAGCATAATCATCACTACACGTTAGTCTTGAGTGAGAGACCTCTGCTAACGTGCAGCATTAGGAAAAATGTTATAAAGCATAACCGCTTACAAATGCCAAAGCGTGACATAATGCTAAAATCAACTTATGCAGAAAGTTTGAGATCGTTGTTGTAGTGGAAGATAAGGGGGAGGGAGGGACAAAGAGACACAACACAAACGCCACTGTGGTCGACTCCTCGTCATGTCAGCTAATGTATTCATCAAACATGTTCATCGTCCTTGGGACCCCAGCCATGTAGTCAGGAAACACCAATGGACTTCACTTTCGAAGTGAGAGAATTCATTCTTCTAGACCAAGTCATTGTTTGGTCACCCCTCCTCTTCTTCTATCCACACCCCCGGCGGGCAAAGAACTGACGATGCGGGAGTCAGTTTGGTGGTATGAGCACCAAAAAGGCCCAGCCATCTGTGTCTGGTGCTTAATATAACGGTGCTGAGCGGTTCACTCGCTATTATTGCATCAAATACGCGACGCCGATTACGTGCATTACTGACGCGGTGTTTCCACTAGACATGAGTTACGCTACGAAGGCGGCGATGGCCGAAAGTAACTAGCCTCATTATATCGGTCGAGTCAGTGGGCCAGGTTTCACAACCGTGCATTGTAGACTTTGCCTCACAGAACAAGAGTGATATCGAGGCGGTGCGACAGGTAGCGGAGATTGGCAAAAGCACCCGAGCTTTCGCTATAAGATTCAACAACTACTGTTTAATCTCACGGGTGCTAATTTAGCCTCCCAGATACAGAAATTTATGGACGACTTCTAGCTGATCACTGCCAATGATCAGCGCAGGGGTGGGTCCTTAACAATCTTGGAAGAGAAGTTTGTATTTCGATGATGCAAAGCGTAGGCCAAAACAACTGACAGCCAGAGCTAATTTATCCAGCGCAGCCTGGCACCTTTGTGGCCTGTCTCGGATGAGCGCAGTGAGGTCAGCATCCTCCAGCTCACAAGGTCACCTCATCTGCTGCTTTATCCGCTTACTGCTTTGAGTAAGGACGTAAAATATGCGCAGAAGTGGCGTTTCTAACTTCACTAAAGTCTGACGTCTCTGTTAGCTCCAACAGCTAGCTATCACATGTCAAGTTTTAGCTGGTTCATCATAATTGGGTTACAAGTTGCAGAGCTCAACTACCAATCCGGAAAGGCATCAGACGACCATTTCGCCCTATGCGGTCTCTTCAATGCTGAGGATTCCCTCGGTCTCCTACTGGCGGACAGATGTGTAACCGACAGTGGTTTGTACCCCTAGCCACTAGCTTATGCCACTGAGTCACGGGGGATGTTGGACGACTATCACGGACTGAAAGCTAACTGCGATGTAGCCTGACCCATACGTCCAGTGTTCTGCGACTTACCACTGAATGTAGTGAAAATACATACACTAAGGTATGATCCAGCCCACACTCAAGTCTCCTTTCAGTGCGTGTGTCGCGTATATTATGTGCATACAAAGCTTGCATGCGAACACAGACTTCCCTTATTCATGAGGTGTTCGCAGTCACCTATTCACGAAAGTCTTGTGAGTAGACTTCAACCTTTCTCATTGCCTTAACCAAAGCCGTTGGGTTCCATTAACTTAGCAGTCATGGTGATGTTGCCCCTGACGAGTGGGTTGAAATTACCTGACAGAATTAATCCCTCACTGCTCGGCACAGATCATAGCGTCGTAATTGAATAACAGATTGGCTTTCGTGAAATGGGAATAACACACACACTGTGACCACGCATGGGATTAAGTGTCTCAGTTTCACGCTATTCGAGACACCGGTGAAATGACCTGTACTTACTTTGATACAGATACCAATCAGGTGGCTAAATATGACCCACCATGAACCATACTCGCATAGCGCTGCGGTTGCGTGTCAAAAACAGCTGGATATATGGTCAACATCCATCCCGTGTGTCTGGACACTAGCTGTATTCAGAGATCGTGTTGACAATGTGGCATAGCACCACATCATATAATACACATGCACCATAAGCACATACACAAAACAGCATAGCATCAACCTACACCCGTTTTCAGGGAAAATTAAAAGCATTGACATTTCAAGTTGCATAAAGCCATATGTGAGCGATTCACACGGACTGCATTTAACTCGACAAGTTTACTGTTTTCGGTTTTGCTGGTTATAGTTGTTTTTCATTTGGAGACCCTCGCCAACCATCCTGCGGGATATCTTAAGCTTTTACTTTTTGTTCGCAACTGACCAATGGCCGTTGAGCTCCATTGCGGCAAAAGCTGACTGGTCACGACGCTGTGTGTGTACGCATGTGGAATAGGAATAGATTTAGATTTACATAAGCAACAACGCGATAGTCCTTGATGCGCTAAAATAGTAATGATCATGACTACTAGACAGTTCGTCACTCTCTTAGTGGAGTCGTAAACATCCGTAGGCCGTTTAATGTACTATCCCTGGTTTGTACCTACCACCATGTTTATTTCGGGTGTTTAGTTTTCGATTCAATCATGATTGGGTACATAGCCAAGTAATAGCAGTGGTTGACTGCTCCTTTGTCTAAATAGTTTGTAGGGTGGATCCAGCTGTCATAGTTGAGTGCAGTAATCTGTTTCGATGTGCATCACATAATCCACCATTTTTACCTCTTACCGATATCTTTCCTGCTCTTGCTTGATTTCAAACATTTTTAATTAGCTCAAACAGCTACGATTTTCCCGTTCTGTGAACATCTGTTTCCCTCTGGTTACTTCACGCCTTCCCTACTTAGATACGAATCAAGGAGGGTAATTATAAGACAAGGTCAGCCGGCACTGAACTTTTATTTCATTATTTCTGGTACTGGTAAGTTGGACGCAATTCTCTTGAACCTTAACATTTCGTAAAGATATCCGATTTAACAGTTGATCTCTGCTTAACCCCAAGTTTTGTAAAGAATTGTTCAAATATCAACTGGAGAAATTACATCCGGCCATAAATGTTCCCTCCCTACGCAATCTTTCTACCATCACAAGTTTCTTCAGACACTTCTCTTTTCCGTAATGCCGCTCGTGCAATACGTGGGGTCGAGAGATCCATTTGGCCTTAAGCTGGCACTACTTTAAGTGAAACGCGGTCCGTTTTTCTTCAAATAATCTACAACTCCGATCCACCTGGGACTGTTTGCATTTAGCCATCGTCGTGTGCCCTCGATTAGTATCACCTCACTCATGTTAAAGCTGTTCCAATTTTGCATGAATGAGTGCAATCGAAGCACCTGCAGTAAATGTTACGGCTTTCGAGTGGTAGCGCTATTAAGTAGTATTCATAGCAGCGGTCTTTTGTTTCGCACAACGCTAAGACACTATTCATGGAGCATAGAGGACGCCTCTTACAGTTATTCATTTACGGAAGATGAACTAGCCGACGCCAACTTCCCCGTCACTGATTGCAAACCGATTGGTGTCTGTGCAAATTAGTCCGCGTTATTATTGCACGTGATTGAAACCGGATTCTCAAAATTTCGCTTGCAAGTACACACCGCGTGGCTAGATTGCGGTAAGCAATTTCACGTTTAAGAGTAATTCACTTTGGAACTGTTGGTGAGTGGTGTCAAAAATTCTGAAAACAACTGGTTGGTATAGTTTCCTAGCAACATTTCTCTTTTGAGACAAAAGCTTTGTTAGGCTGAGCGAAACAGTCGAGGATTGGTATAGCACTTATGGCTGACTGCTGAGACGGTTGTGATAAGCAAGAGGAACAGCTGCGTGAACAGAATGGATGGCGTAGAGCTTTCGAACGTGTGGAGAGCTGTCTTAACCCGACCAGTCTGAGGAGCGCCGGCGGACGATTCCAAGGCAGAGAATGAACATCAGACCATCCCCACACTCGTCGTTAATAGGGCTTACGTATGTGACCTTGTAAAGCTGACAACTTGAAGTGACGCTTTGACCAGTAATGCGATTGACATTCTGCCTACATCCCATTCGTCACGATAATCTTCCCAGTTCCCTATAAGTAATTTATCAATCCTCAACTGGTTTACTTGGTCTGATGAAGACATTGTGTCTAAAGCGAAACGTTGCCCACAAACCATACGAACCGGTTGTTCTTAAACATTTCTGAAATCATGAGCTCTCAATCAGTTCCCAGCATTTTTCAAGACGTTCAGGTGAATGGTGCATGTTTATACTTGTTGGGTAGATATTGCAACGCTATGATATCATCCAAGGAATTTGGAATGGCAGCCAGAGGTTCGACCGCTAAGTCGCCGAGTTGCGACTGACGACTCTTGCCGCAGCGGTTAATGTATAGTGGAAAATGTGCGAAACCAATCGTGGAGTGTAGTGCCGCGAGTCGACAACACCTAACATTCATCCGAAACATAAGTCGGTTTAGCTGAATTGCTATGCCTCACCTACTTACTACCAAAGTGCAAACAACTTTCAGTGTGTCATCTGGATAGAGAGGACTGGATCCTTTCTCATAGACAGGTTTCTTTCCGGTCCAAAGCAGTGTTCGGATTTTAACCCTTTTATCTCTAATGAAGTGTGCAGTTTACGAGAAGACCGGTTAAGTAATACTGGATCTAGACTTGTCTGCTCCAGATGCGATTCCTGTGGCCTACATACCCGAAGTTTGCTTTAAAATGGATGGCATTCTATACCAGGACTTCGTGTACCGATTCATTCCCCAACGGATTCACCACAAGTTGCACACCAAGTTCTTTTTCCTTTTGTCTTGGACATTGTGCCAGGTTACGTCTACTTTGTTTTCGGATACTACGACAGTCAACGAAACCAATCTCCATCAACAATTGATTTTATGCATTGCCGCGCTAGTCAGCGGGATTCACTTATCCTCATTGTGCGATTTCATTGCACTCCGGTAACTAATGTTCCTAGTAGAAACATCCACGACTGTACTTGCTTAGGCTGATTCACTCCCCAGTTCATAAATAAAAGATCGAAAAATCACTAGAGTTCCAGTCGGCTTCTACTAATCTACTCTTGTTCTTCTTGTATAGCGGCAAATCGAATGTCACTCCAAATCATCATGCGTCTTCATTTCAGCTGCCGTCAGTGTGTCCCGTAAGAACAGATCAACGGGAGAGCCGTTTGAAGAGTCAGTCGCTGTTCTCAAACCCGGTAGAACATTTGGAGTAAGCGCAGAATAATGGAACAATGTGGTTTGTTTATACTTATTGGTTGTTTCTGACCCCCCTCCCCGTAAATAATACGGAACAAACATTCAGCAGTTTTGCAATAGCATGTGGTCCAACTAACTATTCTGATAATGACAATTCGGAAAACTAGCAACTGTGCTCAGTCGGTAGACATTCCCTTAGCAACAACGTGATGTGAAACGACACGATGCAATTGTGGTGGAACTAGAGTGAACACATGTGATGCATGTTCACTCAGCCGAAGTGTGATCTAAGCTTTGACATCGCATTCTAGCCGAAAATACTTCCTCCATGACTATCGTATGAACCAAACTGTGATAGAATGTGTAACCTTATAGTCGAAAGAGTCGGCTGTTCAGGAGCAAACGAGTTAGTCAAACGGAATAAACGAAGATGACACCGTGGTTGACCCGAACAACGCACTAATACACATTATGGATGATGCTTATCTACGACAAATAAAAATCTCCAGTTATTGGCCGGAAGCGAATTAACGACTTAGTGTTGATTAAAAAAATCATTTCGCTTCAACTCTCACCAAGTTAAACGTGCGCATATGACAGAGCACATACTGAAGTTGTTGAATAGGACTGAATAGCCATTTAGGTCTTTATTTCAACCGTCGTATCGACGCATCTCTCCAGCACTACAGGTCGTAGATTAGGTAGAATTAGGGATAGTTAGATACATCATATTTCGCAACGGTTCAAAGGAAAACTCACACAAAAGTCAAACGATTACATAACGTTAGCTGTTGGCGACGGTGGAACTAATGGGTGTACGAATCGCCTAGATACCCACAACTAGGACTTGTGGTGGCGGATGTAGGTAACTTCAGTGATTTAATGAAGATTTTCTCGGATTCCGCATGAGAGGCGTTCCAAAAGTATGTACATTGCTCTGAACTCATTTTTATGTCCTGCACGACCGTAGTCGAGGAAGTGCAAAATACTGACCTCGCTTCTTTCCTATAAGCTCGCTTCGGGATCGGCTCTCGGGTCCTATGACATGTGTACCACGTAGTGTGAAGCACCTTGTCATGCAGCACATGAGCACGAGTTCCGATAACCATCTATATTCTCAACAGAGGCACTCTACCCTACGCGGGCTTTGAAGTAAAAGTTTGTTGCAGGATAATATTAGCATGTGAGTCGCAAACTAGGTATTCTCAAAAGCGTCTTTCTGCATTTTGTATAGAGTATCCCCTTAAGTGATAAACGCACAGAAAGTTCTTTCTTGGATAAATTCATTTTTGGTGAGTTTGCATTCTTCCAGAGATTTGACGGTGAATTTATCCAGGTGCTCGTTTGCTGTTAGGGCGTCGCATCTCCTCTGCGGTTGCTCGATAACGGAGTCAGGTGTGCATATCCGGCGTATGATATCGCAATGTAAATGTTGGTGGGCTGTTCATTACGTGTGTGGCTTCCGTTCAGCTTTCCTCTGCATTATCCATCACTGAATATATTAATATTTATGTCCAGAAATATTGGTCGGTCCCCGGATTCGTGTTTACTGTTAACTGCATCTTCGCATACGCATCGCTCGAAGCACTTAATAGTTACTTGCGCTCTTGGTTTCTGGGACGTTCAACAGGGCCCGTCTATATGTCGTCTGAGTTGCTGATATTTCACTGATGAATGAAACTCGATAAACATCACAGCGGGCTACCGAGTGCACGTCGTTTTGGTCACGCTTAGAACAAACCAAAATTGCTGCTTGCTGACATATTTCATTTGGCAAACGTATGTAAAAAAGATCTTTTTCACAAAATCGAACCCTCATTTATCACCACTAAAGACGTGAAAAGTTATGGCAAAAGAACTAGGTCGCAGCGTTTCCATTAGTTCTCTTCTGGACATCAGCAATGCAGATGATCTGTCAGTATGCTTTGTGAGCTTCGAACGAGAGAAAAAGAAAAATGAAGCACTTTCAACTGTAAGGTTTCGGTCCCCTTACTCATTACCTAATGCTTCACCGTTTGTACTGACTACCTACCAAGCGGTTTGAAGCCGAGTGATAAGGGAGCAACCAGTGTAGTTAAATATCACTGCAACTGATGGACCACCTGAACCATTGCTGGTAATTAGATAACTTGTTATTCTTGTATATAGTCTCTGGGATGCCGAACCTAGCGATGGATGAACTATCTTGTGTCAGTGGTCTCATGCATTGATTTGGAAATCCGATGCCCATATATCCACTTTGTATGAGCATCAAGGATTCAAACTACTTTTCTTTCATTCATCGAGCCGGAGTGGTAGACGCAGCTTTGTTTTCATGCCTCATTGGGTTAGTGCCATCAATCCAATGCACAATAACTTCTGTCTCATTGACATATTTTCCAAGAAATCGCAAATCCTCGTGGTGTCATCCTTTCGAGTCGACTCTCGGTTTGCCCGATATATACCCCTGCACAACGTATTTATTCCTGAGAATCCGGAGTATCGCTGTGCTCCTGGCGAATATTGGAGGGAGGGATAGATCGTGAAACTGTCCAGGGCATCGGCTGTGCTGTTAATAATGACAAGAATGAAAACGCTTTTGGAATCACATGTGCTTAGCCCGAAAAAAGGCTAACCCATCTCTCTTATATCCGGCTGATCACTGAAAGCTGCATGATTAGATAGGTTTTTACAGTTTTCAACAGTGTGCATTATCTGGGTGGAGCATTTATCGGGGACACCTATGGGCTACTGGTATATATAGGAGTGCTACGACTACCCGCTGAAAAAGACCGTATGCCTTAGAGCATAGTAGAGCTTCATGGTATTTTAGAGAAGATTCGTCGCAGCTAGACTCACCATACATCCATGAAAGCGCTAGACGGCTGTTTCGAGCTACTGGGATCCCTTAGTAGCGCGCACCCGCCGGATCCTGCCGGAGTCGGATCCATGACCTTACTCTCACGAGCCGGTGGCGTAAGTGTTGGAGAGATTAATTTGTCCGGTCGTTTGGAACTCTCACTTCATTTTCCCCTACAGCACCATATCATTGACAGCTCATTTCCCTTTACATGTGCCAGAACCGTGGCTGCCTGTTTTACCTACTCCTTGGACACCGATAAACTATACGACTTTGCTCTTCTAGACGACCCTCTATGATTACTCAAATCCGCCTTACACATTTTGCTTATACACCCTACATCGTTTGATGTTCTCGTTACCGCTAACCCATCGCATTGACCACAGGGAGACTCACCATAGACTACACCTTGACCTGGTGCGTGCCGCCCTCATGGATGGGGGCCCCGTGCATCGTCCGCACCAATGGTTTGGTGCCCTTTCAGGCATGACGCAGTCAGCTGCATTCCTGTTTTCGGTTTCTTGCATCCAGCGACTAAGCTCTATTCCATCCCGATTATTTTTGCACTTTTCTGTCCTGATTCTATTTAATTTTCATTCTATTTACATTCACCCTCATGTTCTTACAGTTATTTTTTGTTCTTGCGATGTGAGCCGGGGCAACTGGATCCACCGCATTTCGATGCACAGATCATAGTTGTTTAACTGAACCTAATATCGAAACGGGTCATTCTACATCCGGCAAAGAAGACAATGCATTGGTCGGTAAGCACGTGGTCCAGCGCAACCCGGTTTCTTTAACTGTTACTTGTTGGTCTTACGAACCAACCTAGCTATTCATACTTGGTAATCGTGAACATACTTCATAACAGTGGATATTGTGGTGCTGACCGACACCTGTCATGCTCCGCAGGCAACGATGCTCGTTTCCACAAAAGTACATTATATCCTCAGACCGAAGTTGTTAAGTCTCACTTGCATGATGTAAGGCGTCCCTCACTGTAGCCTTCTACTCACGACCTTTCCTATCGAAAGAAGTTCACATATGGCACCACAGAATTCGCAGACTAAAGTATGCACTCTTGGCTTTGGCAGTACTTGAACTAGCTTCAGCAGTCGCGCGCCTCTCGCTGCTTATGTGGCTTCCAAACCGGATACGTTGATTTATTACCCAATACCTCCTCTTCAGTAAGGTATACTTCGCTCTTTACCAACGTCCCGCTAATTGAGACAATAGATTATATTTGCGACTATATAACCCAGTCAGCAATGAAATTATGTGTACCTACGCGTGAGCTAAAAAAGTCTACTGTTGCGCTGTACCTGGAATGTGCAATTCCTGTTTAACGGCAAGTACTACCGGCAGAATGATGGCGTAGCCATGGGCTCTCCCTTGGGTCCACTATTGGCGGACATCTTCATGGCAAAGTTGGAAAGAACCGCACTGCAGGCGGATATAGCCACTTTTAGCCACTACTATCGTTACATGGACGATATATTCGTTGTGATGGATGAGGATTTTAACTTAGATGAAATCCTTAACCGTTTTAACCGAGCCCATGCATCAGTACGTTTTACGTACGAAAGAGAAGCCGAAAATCAGCTGCCTTATCTCGATGTTCTGTTAACTAGACGGCTAGATGGCTCCATCCAGCGGCAGATCTACAGGAAGGCAACATGGGTTGGTCAATATACGAATTTTCACAGCTTTGTCCCCCTGAGATACAAGCGCAACTTGATTCGTTGTCTTACATCGAGAGCACGTCGAATATGCTCTGAAGACACCTTAGACGCGGAGTTGACGTTTATACAGAATGTGTTACGCGAAAATGGTTACCCCGACAGATTTATTTTAAGAAACCTTGAAGAAAAGCCAAAGCCGGTACCATTGTTAACAGTGGCAAAGAAGGAACTCCTCATACGCCTGCCTTTCAAAGGGGACGCGGCTACAGAACGTTTAACTCGAAGTCTTTCTGGTGCGATGAAATCAACTTTTGCCGCAGCTGCGCTTAAATGTATGTTTACAACGGAACCACTCGTTCGTTCGCGAACCGAGGATAAGTTGCCGATGCTGACCGCCTCAATGGTTATCTATCAGTTTGAATGCGCTTGTGGCGCATCGTATATCGGTCGAACGGCGCGGCACCTGTCCAAACGCATAAACGAACACTGTCCGCGTTGGCTACGTCGAGGTGACACTGGAGCCATTAGTAGCTCTATCCTGGCTCATATTGTGGACAGCGGACATCAAGTGGATCTAGAGCGTAACTTTAGAGTAGTATACAGAGTTCCGCCGTACCGGTCAAAGGGTCAACGTCTCCGTACACTCGCAACGGCCGAATCGATTTGTATTCGATCATTCCGACCATCGTTATGCTCGCAACAGAAGTTAATTAAGGCTGTTCAGCTTCCTTGGCCCGCAAAGGCGGATGAGGTCAATGGCGCAAGGTCAAGAAACCCGTAACTTTTAATTAACCCGTTTTTGATTTTTTACCCTACGTTAATTGTATCAACTATGTCGATCTTACCCTTTTTTAACCCTATATATGATTGTATCGGTCTGAGGATGAATCATCGAAAGCAATTGCTCACCAAGTGGTCTCTATGTTCTCATTTGCACAAATGGGGATTTTCAAGATACTTCAAAGCACTTGGCTGACACGAAGCACAAGGTGATTGCTGGGATCAGTCAAGACAGTTTATCTAGGAGTGACCGAGCCACTTCACAATTGTCAAACAGCAAGTCGACATCATCCGCATAATCAAGATAAACTAATTTTCCACTAGACAGCACAACACCTGTGTCGCTATGCTCAGACTCCATGATGCAGTCCACCATGAAGTTGACGAGCGCCAATGATTCTCGGAAAGACATCCGTCAGTTCAGCGTATACCCTGTCGCGACTTGTCACTTTCGAGTGCAGAACACATACTTGTTCACGTACATGAGGGGAACGCATTTTCGGATAAGCAAGCTGAAGAAGACTAGGCTACCGACTGAGTCGAATACGCTTTTGAGATTGAGGAACACAGTCATTGTCGATCTGTGGTACTTATGATGCTTCTCTGCTACGGAGTTATAGTGTTGTCCATACAGTACCATGCGAGACGGAAACCGACTTGTTTTACTTTCATCCGGGATTCCTGTTCTGCAGTAATTTGATGGACAAGAACTGAACTCAGTAGCTTGATCATTTCCAACGTTACCTGTTATCTTTGCGGTTGCTACAATTGATTTTCTGTCCTTTTGCTTCTACTCGGTACTGTCATGTCTTGTGTAAGTACCACCGAGTGAAGCATTGTACCCTGTAGGCCTCGCCTCATGCGCACCTTGATTGCCAAGACAAAAGTGGCAAAGCTCGATGTATCGGAAATCAGCTTATGTAAGTTATCTCAAATGTGCAGAAGTGACTCAGGGCTAGGTATGTAGATGCAGTCTGCATGTTGGTCAGCAATGAGTTGAAACAGTTCCGGTGGTCTGTACTTAGAGTCAGCAGTGAAACGAATAGCAACGAACTGCACTTCGACAGTCAAATGCACGATCATGCTTCATAAATGTGCTGCTTCAGTTAACCGCATCGGTGCGGAAAACCGTAGGTCATGTTCGTGTTCCTTAAATTGGGTGGTTGTGCGCAAATCAAAATTATATGTGTGATTTGTAATGATCCAAATACTGGCGATTTGAAAAAGAGAAAAAAGAGAAAATGATTTCAAATTCATGAATTTTTAATTCACACCTACGATTCCAGTTGACCCGCCTTCAGCGTCTCCCCCCCCCCTCCAGGCCCTCTAAAATCTCAATTGCTTACACCCCATGCCAAGCACCCTTGTTTGTCCTAACCGTTAACTCGTATACATTACTATCTGTTCTCTTCTTGACGCCTTCGACAATACCATTTGGCTGCATGGTCTTTGCGTTACTTGTATTACGAACCAGCTATATCGCCCATCTTCAAACCTCGACGTCTCTGGTGCCATTTCTACTTAACTTGCAGTAACGTCTAATCCACTTCTTCCAAGATCCGGAGAACACATATGGCACTTGTCTTCATCGTCTGCCTAACTGATAAAGACGTTAGGGCTTTTCAAGCTCCATTGGACTTTTAGTACAATGCTAGTAATTGATTCAGGTTGGTTTTCCGTAAGACATGTTGATCGGTGTTGCCAATGATCCCGTAAGTGTCCCGCTTTGGGAAGTCCATTAATACTCGTGTGTGTTCCATTGAAGACGCCTGAGTCAGCATGATAATAAATCTTGTCCAGAGGTCTTGTCTTCTGTCTTGCTGTTGTCCTGGTTATCGATCGGAAGCCGAAGCTGTGTTCCGTCCGTGAGCTGTGTTGTGTTCCTTCGTGAACTTACTTGGTCTGTGTGTGTTCATACTGACTCGCGATAGTTGGATCGTAACACGCTTGTATTGTGTTCGTGATATGAGAACACTTGAGATCTTGGCATTGTAGCAACCTGTTTTCTCCATACTTTGGAAAAAACAAAATCTTTTATAAGCAGAATAACATTTGTACTCATTTGTATGGGCTTTTTGATGTAACTAATTGTGAGTTCATTGCAATAGCTTCTCTTACTCATGAGTACCATGAAATATTCGTCCTGACGCTTTCTAACCATGTAGTACGTAGCGGCTCTCAGTGGAAGTTGTGTCTTTCGGAACCAGCCCTGACCTCGTAACCTTCGTAATTTGCATGGTATTGAAGGATAAGACGCGCTGTACCGCAGTTAGCGCGTAACTCATGACGGTCCACCGCTGTCCCCAATGGCTCAGTGACATAAGTTGCTGGCTGACGATTCAAGGCGGTGGTTGTCACGGATTCGAGTCCTGAAGGATCCGATGGATGCGCGCTACTGACAAGATCCAACAGGTCGAAACTGCACTCTAGTGCTTTTCTGGGCATATAAAGGACTATCTGCTTTGGATGTTGTTTAGACGAATTCTCAATTAAGAAATAACATTTACTTCATTTTCTACCCGTTTCGTTACCTCTGACCCTACGTATTGTTTGCGTCTGTTCCATAGTTTCTTTTATAGAACTGCTATTAGCTATATGGTATATCGTTATCCTTTCCAGCGGCTGCTGATGTTTAACACCATCTTCATCTCTATAGTGGATACATAGCCCTGTTTTGATTCATGGTCGTTTTACCCTCGGAGTTAATTTTTCTGACGTGAACTCCCCATTGTTGTCTGCAATCCCATCTCACATCTTTACGGTCAGTGCTCACCACTTACTTTTTTCATCTTAATCCTTTCAAGGTCTGCTCGCAGGTTTGTGGGAGTTCCCCAGTCGGCTTTTAGCTTCGGATGAAACAACCGCTTCCGATGATCCTGCCCAACCTGGACTTCCTGCTTTACTTGACCATGTGAGGACTGCGTTTGACCTTAACTGTATTGCTGTGGCCGAATGGGATCCTGCATACGTTGGCCAAGTGAGCTTTACTTATCGAAATTCCGAGTAGCCTCACATTTATTCCGGCCCATCCATTCACAGGATGTTCCGCAATCAGAGAAGATAGGTACCAAATATTCATCATCATCATAAACAGCAGTACAACAGCGATTTGGACCGATGCTCTGCTGCCATACAACCATGGTGACCTACGGAACAAAGAATAATGGGAGGGAGAGAACGGGAACTTAACGGAAAACCTTAATACCCTAAGGAAACACTCATGATCAAGATGCCTACACCTTGTCAACAACATACCATCATAAACAGCTGGTTATTGTGCAGATAAGGCGGCATCGACGAGACAGCATCCTTGCGGCTTTCACTGCCCCGCATCATAATCCGCCATTACCCTGCAGACAACTCAGCACCAAACACACTGTAAACAGGCAGTTCGACAAGGAGACGGCGGCAGACGCTTCACTGGTGTAGACTGCGAGCCATGTCCCATAACGTCTCAAGCCAAACACAAGGTGGGTCACGTGGACTCCATGCTGGAAGGCGAGCCGGACCGACGGTGCCCAGTTCAGTCGTCAGTGACTTCATCTCTCACTGCAAAGGTACTTTTTGCCCACCTCGGGCTTTGTGCCACCCTACATCTGGCTAACAATTCAACACCTTCCTCGGTAAGCGGTGACCAGGCATACAGAGTACGGGCCCAAGCCAACGCAACTTATTCAGTGCCATGTTGTTTTAAGGAATTAGCTTGATTATCACTGCCTAGTACTGGCCTACGCACATCATCGTTGCGGACACGCTAGCGCCACCCGACACCAGCAATGCTTCGCAGACAACGATGATCAAAGACTTGAAGGCGCGGCAGGTCCAAAGAACGAATGGGCGGTATCCCACTCCCATAGAATAGGACGGCCTTCACTGTGTCCTTGTAAACACGGTCTTTTAGATCGGGGAAACTCCTCTCTGACAGCACAGATGTCGCGGATTCTAGTAATGCATAAATTGACCAATCATTACGTGCCCTTCGTTGCCGATGTAGCTGCTAAGGTAGGTGAAGTGATCAACTACCCCGACTTCCTCGCCATACAGGATCAAAGGGCCAACAAGTTTGGCACTTTGAAGGTGCAAAGCGCATGCCAAGTGATGGGGCCATTCTCAAGGTTGATTGCGCCGCCACAACATCGTTAAAAAGCAAGACAATGTCCACATAAACACGATCAACTAGCTTTTCACTAGACATCACCTCAACGCCTGAGGCTCCGCATAGGAACACTCCGTGATGCTGTCCACGACGAAATTGAACAAAAATGGGGAAACTGGAAAACCTTGACACAAGTCACTTGTTTTCGGAATAATGTCCGACAAATCACCGTAGACCCTGACGAGTCATATGATGTTCGAGTATAGGGCACGTGCAATCTTCACTTATTTCATGGAAATGCCCTTCAGCACAAGTATTTCGAGTGAATCGAACACAATCTTGAAGTCGATGAACCCAGCTGTCGTTCTGCAGTACATGTGGCGCTGTTCTAATACCTTTCGCGGAGGTCTATAGAGCCTCGTCCTGGGCGGAAGCCTGCTTGCTTTTCCCTACTCCGGGATTCTTGTTCCGCAGTGAGTCGACGAACAAGAATTGTCACCACCGGCCTTCGGCTATTACCCTTATGGCTAGCACAGTCGGTGTGACTGTCCTTCTTGTATATTGTCGCTATAACCGACTCGCTTCAGTTAGCCGGGATGGTTTGCTCCTTCCAGACTTCTCCGAACGGGGAGGTCAGTGCTTTGCAGTTGATCTCACCTCCATCCCTGAATAGTGCGTGTGCGAGGGAATCCGGGCCAACAGCACGAAAAGGAATAAGGTCTGTGATCGCGTTTCGGATCTCAGCGTCCGAAGGAGCCACTTAATTAACTGGCCATCGCTCAGCCTGCAACACTTGAGTAGAAAGAGGTCCTGTTTCAGAGGGCCAACTGACCTGATAATGAAAGTAATCTTCCCAAGGAGCCATACGGCGCTCCTTATTACGAATCAGTGCACCCGCGCTGTCTCTGCTTGTCTCACTAACGCCTGGTTTCCTTGGACCAGTGGTGCAAATCAGTTGGAACAACTTGTGATAATTGCCTGCTGCTCCCGCCTCTTTTGTTTTTTGAGCCTGACTTGTTCACCAGGCTTTCTTGTCAGCACGCAGGCGCCGCTTTAGTTCGCACCTAATAGTCCGCTTGGTTACATTACGCTAAGAGCCAGTCGAGAGTTTTCTGAATTCCAACAGGTTCACAGACCTTTCGGATATCCAGTGAATGGTGCGGTAACTGTTGTTAGTCCTACGAGCAGATGCTCATTCTTCGTGCATGGAGACTGGGAGCCCATCCGTTGGAGCTCAGTGTCTTTAGGACAAGAGAGCGAAAGTTCGGTACACAGGGTATCCCGGTAGGCTCGCCTGACGGAGGACTAAGATAATTTCTCAGTTGCCAATGGTGGGAGACTCTTGGCGCGTCTTCCGTTACAGTTCATGGAAAGGCGACAGCGTACCAAGGCATGATCAGAATCGACGCAAGTATTCCAAAACGAGCAACAATGCAGGATGGAACCACGCCACCTGTAACTTACGGCAGTGTGATCTATTTGGGTACATCGCTGGTTAGTCATAGGTGGACGCCAAGTAGCACTTCGGCGCCCACTGTGTTTAAAAGTGTTGCTACTAATAAAAGGCTGATGCTCCGCACACATTTGCAACAGATGTTCTCCATTATTCGTCCGTTCGAAGTTAAGCCTATATTTACCACCCACTGATGAGCCCAGGCGACCTATTTTCGCATTCATATCCCCCGTAAAAGTATTGCTGTCTGAACTGGTAACACTTTGAAGCAGGGTGTTTAGATCGTGGTAGAAAGCGTCCTTGACAGCATCATAACTGCAGTCAGTGGAAACATAAACGGAAACCACCAACGAATACTGTCTAATACTACTTCGCTACTTATCCTTAGCTGATGTCGTCAACGGGCTGCAAGCAAACAGCTGTTCACGAGGATCCAATCAACCATCAATGAGTCAGCCTTGAAGCTGAGGACGATACCCACACCAGCTTCACCAGTGGTTGCCGCATCAGCGCCTCTGAATGCGTGCAACCAGTAGCGACAGGCCAAGTTGGACGCAATTAATTCAGTGATCCCGTGAGGGTCATTGATCCTAGTTTCGGGCACATAACACGTCAGTACCCAGCATGTCCAATGTGCGTGCAAATGCAGTCTATTAACCTATATGTCTCAGTTTGCGAACGTTGAACGCTGTCAGGGAAACGGCACAGTGTGGCCTTATAAGGAGCTGTTGGCGATTAGTGTCCAGTGGGTGCTGCGGAAAGATAGCTACAAGGGATTTGGCCGCAGTGACATTTGGATTGCTGCCAATTAAACTGGGGATTATAGATAGAAGACTGGTAATGGAAGGGGATTGGAAGGGGAGTTTGAAAAAAATGCATCCATAAGTATATATATATATATATATATATATATATATATATATATATATATATATATATATATATATAAGCAGGCTGGAATAACTTCGTATGGTGTTGGTCCATCCATGGGATTTTTCCTTTGATGTAATCAAACCGAATCGCCGTCTCGTAACCAGTCGACCTAGTCACGTAGACAGTCGAACAAGCCTGATCCTTCTTGTCAATCACTCCCATCACTTGCCATTTGCTTTTCTCTGCGGATCTAATTAGCCACTCTACTTGCATATAACTTCCAGAACAGTTGAAAGTTAATCGGAAATCTTGCGTGTGTTTGGTAGTTTAAGTCATGGAAATACATTGCTGGGCTACTGCTGATATTGTTGAGTTGTATTCTATGTTGTACTGAATTGTCTAAGGACTTTGGTCAGAATGCTGTTAAGAGGAATGCATCATAAACCCGTTTCTCGCTTCTATTTCATACTTGAGCTAACGTTTCAGTTTTCCGGCTTAAATAACTTATCCATGTATGTTATCGCATGCTGTATGCTTACTCACTTTTAGCATGTTAAACTTGCTTGTACACAGCACGAGTGTCCTTCACGTGCCCGCTCACCTGATGCCTCGGGGATTGGTAATTGTCGCTTTAGGTGTTGATATGCACAGTCTACGCCTGTACTGGCTTCATTGGTTGGGTCCGTCACTCAGCGAGCCACGACCACGTCACCACTTTATCTACTTTTGATCTACATGTCCCCTCCCCAGTCTTCGTGAGCGGAGTTGCCACGCACCGACTTCGCGCAAGTTGAATACCCGTCAGCTCGGCGCACAGTCTTGCGATGCTCACTGTACCTACAATCTCGATTTTCCAATAGCTCCAACTTACTACTGTGCGCAATACACATGCTAGTAAAGTGTGGATCAGCCCCGACATATCCGTGTTTCCCACTCTCGTGCCTCACATTTTTACTCTTGTAGGTTTTTATCAAGTATTAGGTATGTCGTCGGAGCAACGCAACTACCTGCGTTCGCACTATAACCCCAGACGTCCCGTGACCGTTTGCAGCCGCGGTGCCAGACATATCTAGCTCAGTTCAGCTCACATCACCCGCTCAGCTACGTTTCAATCATGGACGTGTGGGGTGGACGTAGTTGCTTTGATTGATCTCGACGATGACATTGATACTAATCAGTAACTCAGGAAGATGACGCTGAACAGTTGTACCACAGATTAAGGGAAAGGATCAAGAAAATTTTCGAACTGCCGATTTGCGCATTGGAAGCAAAGGATCGAACGTGTTTCCAACCCCGTGATGTGAACTATCCCATGGCTTTCATCATGTTAATCGCCACCTCTCCACGCGGCCCGGTCTGGCCAATCTTTACGCTTCATCAGCTGATTGCGTGAGGTTTCATTCAGAGCAAATCACCCTCCTCAAACACACGCCAGCGTGTGTGATTGTCACGTATACGAAGCATGTGGGCTAGCCACTGTAACTGGTTAAAGTTTAACACCCGGTTCAATGTGATTCCAGTTGGGGGGCTCCTTCCCTATTCATCCAGTGTTCCCACTTCATGTGCGCAATTTTTCTCGTAGATTGGTAACGAAACACTAATAGTTCGCGATAGCTGCGCTAAATATCAATTGCTTGCTCAGCAGCGAAGTTTGTTCTCTCGTGGCATGCTAATGTATTTAGAAACCAAAGAATGTGTTTACTCCATTTACTCTTGCGCGTCTTTGCTCATCCTTCCCACCTTTTGCTGCTAACATTCGTAGGGCTGTGGTAGATATCCTTTTTATCTTGCTCATTGACCCTAGTTTGCAGCGTTCGAATTAAGTCACAGTATGGTTAATTATCTTCTGCCACAAACAATGGGGCTAGAGCTTACCGACTTGTGATGGTTTGTGTGTCTCAGCGATCCATTGAGTTGTGCTGCGTGTTGAACTTCGCATCTTCAGAGTCACTCATACCAGGTTGGTCAACGGTTAGGGACCAGACAAACTCAGCCTCCTAATCCTTTAAGTTGGGGATTATAGTGAAGGTGTCTCCTCATCTCTTAAAATGGACTACTTGTAGCCCACTGTCAAACTCGCTGCCATGCGGTCAGGTTTTTGGACCAAAAGCTTTGGTTGAGTACCATAATTTTTTTTCTGTCTAGGCTTAGGCAACCTGACTGTATCCTGCCCACGCAATACACTGACCTACAAACCATTTCTTGATGCTCTGGCCGTCACAGAGAGTAATCAACGGCGCCTCATCTGCTGCGTCGAGCAGGGTTGATGGGGGCTTGGACGCTACTGCTCAAGCCTTCCCGTCTTCTTATTCCCCCTCTTCCCTTTCTCCACCTTTATCGTCCTGTTCCAACTTCACTTTTTTTCCCCCGTTCAAAACCCCAGAATTGTTGGTCCTCCCCCACCTTTATTTGATGGGCGGTTCTCTTCTAGTTTCAACTCACATGCAAACGCAGGGCGTCACTCCTACCCTGTCGACAAGCCCACGTCCAACCTAGCGGATAAGCCCAGTCCATCGGCTTCTATTTGGAGCCCTCGACCCTCCCTTAGATTGACATGCCTCAACGCTTGCACATTGTTGCAGGTTAGCTCTTTGTAACCAGCGGAATTTATTTCGTCTGATACGGGAAACGGGCAGTAGAAAACCTAGTTTTAATGAAACTATATGTGACGAGAATGGACAATGTATCCACAACTTGTCAAAACTCTTGGAACGTTGGGCTGAGCACTTTGGAAGGCAATTTAATCGGCCAGGATTGCTAAATTTTACACCCGACAGTGATCGCCGTACTCCCTGGGCTGTACCTCTGGATCCACCCTCTCTGCTGAAGTTGTGTAAGACCGCGGGACCAGATTATCTTCATCCAGTCCTCTTTAAATTCTAATAGTCCAACTCTCGTTGCTAATTTACACGAGTTACTAGTGAAGCTGTGGAAGTAGAAAACTGTCCCAACCGCCTGGAAGCCGCTCCGCTGTTGTCCCTATCTTCAAGGAAGGCCCACTTTCGGAATGCGGCAGTCATAGAGGAATCAGTCTGATCTCCATTGCCTCCAAATTGCTTGCTTCTGTCATCCTTCACAGACTGGCTCACTCGTGAAAACCAGATTCGTGAAGCACAAGCCGTGTTTCGTCGATGTCGAGGCTGAATTGATTACATCTTCAATTTGCGTCAATTGGTCGAGCACTGTCACATATATCGACGGCCCACCATAGTCGTGTTTCTCGACATCAAAGCTGCCTTCCACCCGGTAGATTGATGTGCCGTTTGGGACTGCTACTAAGGAAAGGTGTGCCCAAGGAATATGTAAACATTATTCCAGCGTTACACCCGCGTGAGTGAGGTCTTATGGCAAGCTGTCGCCGTCCTTTGACATCTCCAGCGGTGTAAGACAAGGATGCCCGCTATCAACTTTTCTCTTCAACTTCGCTATTTATGAAGTCATGGAGATCGCGTTCATGTGACACGACTTAGGAACTGTGAAGCTGGTCCCCGATGAACGACTTGTTGACTTAAAGTATGCTGACGACATTGCCCTCATATGTGACAGCTCACGTTCGTGCCAAGCGGCACTCTACAGATAAGCACTGGTTGCCAGCGGTTTCGGGGTTTGCTTTGCACCCTCGAAGTGTAAAGCTTTCCTTCAACATTGTCAGGGTCGGTCTCCTGTGCTGACCCTTGGTGGGGATCAGCTAGAAGTCGTTCAGAGATTCAGTTACCTAAACAGTTGTATCAGCGACGGTGGAATTAATGACGAGATCACGAACCGTAAAGCGAAAGCTCGAGACGTTTTTGCTAACCTTCGCTACCTATGGTGCTGGTGTGACATTACTCTGGCTCTGGAGAGCAGAGTTTACAATACAGCCATACGTCCCGACCCTACTGTACGGTTGTGGAATCTGGCCCATCAGATCAGCCGATATAAAAAGACTAGTTTCGTTCGACCACTGATGCTTTCGCAGTTTGTCTCCTATGTGGTGTGAACATGAGCGTGTTCGACGCCTTGTTCGTGGCACAGGGAGAGAAAGTGAACTGCTCGACACCGTTATTTCTCGCACCGGGTGGCTAAGCTACGTCTTACACATGCCAACACACCGACTCCGGCGACATGCGTTGTTTGTGGGACCGGTGTCTGGATGGAAGAAGATGAGAGGAAGCCAAGCGATGACTTGGTCAAGAATAAAGCCCCTTAGTTCCAAGTTGGCCTGGGTTAGAGCCTCTCAGCTCCCTGGTTGAGGTCCGAAAGACGATGAACGCATTTGGCTGCATACACATGTTGACATTACTAGGAGCCGACCTCAACGGCGTTTGTGTTGGGAATTTCTTTGTCCTCCTCCTATCGCTTAGTCTTCCCATCGAACCGCGATTTTATTTCCTTCGCATAGTATAACTCTCTTTCTTGCGGCACAATAGCCGACTGGTAGCTTTCCGGAACGATGCCCATTCGTTACTGGTGGCTCAGCTGGGGTGCTTCTTGCATGTTTTTTCTCATTTTCTTACGTACTGCGGTACACTGGCTGAAGTGTTTTTCGCCTGTAACTAACGTATATAACGTTGATGATGCTGACATGAACAAGTCTCAGTTTTACATACGTTTTGGCGTTTTCAATCTTCTTTTATTTCTCACACCTTCGTATCCTTCCTTCGCATCTGTCTTTTACCACCTGCGAGTTGTTTGTTGCCGTATATTCAACGGTTCGCTATGTACTTGCTTTTCATTATGTGCCTGAAGGTTACTCCAAGGTCATCCTATCACCCTGTGTCTTTTCCTTTCGTCAACTTAGGTCACTCATTTGTTTTCCCATATTCGAATGACCTACGTCGTGCAATCGTTGGAGCTACCGCCACAATCGGAAAGCCTTCCAATTCTCTTTTTTGGTCGCTGGATCTCTTTGTCTGCTTTCGAGTCAGCACCAGTTTCTACAGCCACTAGAAAGGTTTGCCCTTGCCCTACAAATGTCCATTTTAACTTCGTATTTTGGACCCAAGGGATCATTTTATTCCAAACGTCATACTGTCATTTTTCTATATTGTCTTCTCTACTAAACGCTGTCATTTGGAATCTTGTAAAATATTTTCGCGTTACGATTGTCACCGACACTAGGAAGCCCAAATCTCTGTGTGCATACGTTCAGCAACTTACAACCTATTATTGATGTCCTTCGTATTTGGATCCTCTGCGTTTCGCTGCACCCATTGCAGTTGAGAAACTGAACTGGACCGAACTGGAAGTCATATGGACCCATAACATCAAGGACTTAAGACGTGTGGGCGGCAGGCTGTTCTGGTTACATTTCATTACTGCCCCCGGTAAAGCATCTGTCATTAAAGCAACCATATGCTGCACTGGTGCTGTCTCCAATTCACAATACGAGAGTCTGTCTGTCTGATAGCGCGCAGCGCTGTTATAGACATTCAACTCAGACCTGCTGTTCTGGTGGTACAGTCTCAGCCACTTGCAGCTGACTTGGGGATTCCATCAGAATATGAGATTCCAAACGCAGTTACAATCCTTAAGTGTTTCCGAGCTACCAGTCCGAATTATCTCGTGCGTTTGCTGCGTATTGATGGTGGTAGGGTATCGTGCAAATAATTGATCGCTTGTTCGAACAGATAATCAAAGAGTATACTGCTCCAACAAAGTCGATCATTGTTAGAATATTCCAGAAGGGCTATTGCACTATCTTCGTCGATCCTAAGGGTATCAGTTGGACACCGATAGTAACGGTTATTAACCCCTGCTCTCATCTATCAGCTTACATTTAGAACGATAATTCTTGGCGGATTGGCGTAGATATTATTTCAACCATCTCTCTTCACTCTGCGTCAGGTGCTAAGCAGCGCTATACTTATCGAAGATAGTCCATATTCCTCGGTTCTTGTCTTTATTACCAAAACCTCACTGACGGCAAGCAGTTTCCGACTGCGGTTACGTAATAACGACTTGGACAAATTCACCGGAGCTTCATTTGATACGGTAGAGCTGATTTACTGTCAAGCACCGCTCGCTCCTTGAACGGTAGAAACATGAAAACAATTATTCGCATGACAATAAGAATTGACAGCTTCACTTTTTCAGGATTTGCCGTGAACTTGATGTTTTTTTCAGGACATCCATTGCAAAGTAGCTCGTTGTATAAACACTTTTCTTCAGTTTTTAGTGAGCACGGACTGCAAATTCTCTAGGCCCTGTGCAACAACGTTTTCACGAGGGGGAGTTAGCAAGCAACTTAGACGAAGTAGGAAAACGGTGTATTCCCGGACATGCGTGGTACACGACAAACAGGTGGTCTGATTAATGTGTTACCCTCCATAGGTTACATCGTAGTGCACGGTGCGCGGAAGGGTTTAGCCATCACGGTTTCTAATAAGTACGTCAGATTTGCGCAGCTTACATGCACAAAAACGATTGATGCACAAAAGCTGCGCAAATCTGTTGGGTTCAGTGAAGGCGAATATGGTGCGATTCGCAATTCTCCCTGATTGGTAACGCTACTCTAGGAACGCACGTTCCAGATTCGTGTGTAATGTTTTGCGGTCGCATATAAGGAGATACTTATCAGTAACATCTTTGCCGTTGGTGTCAAGCATTTGTGAACGGCGCTTGATGCTAAACCAGGTCAGCCTTATCACACACATACACGACTGCTTGAGCACCACTCGTGTACAACCCCAAAAGCAATGCCATCCAGAAGCTCCAGATTACATTGCCAGGCAGTTGAGCCTCCATGGTATCGCTCAGCATGTCAGTTCAACTGACTCACTGGATCGTTGGACATTTCCAAATGTGGTTTATGCCATCTCTGCGATAACATGATTGAGTGGACCAAGTGATGAACGAGATCCGCACCTCATCCATCCCCAAAACTTTAATGAAGCTCTGGTGAATTTGTTGAAGTTGTTATTACGTAACCGCAGTCGGAAACTACTTGCCATTAGTGAGGCTTTGTTGATAAAGACGATTTGTCGGCTGTCCTACGCACACAAACAACTGATACAGTCAGTAAGACTACTTTGCTATCGATTACGCATTATCCACCACTCACCAGTGGGCGCAGTTGCGCTACTAGGGCACCCACCTATTTCACTGAAGTCTGGGTTGATGAAGAAAACTCAGTGTTTTACATGACGAGTTTCGACCATACACCGCTGTGGAGAGTCGGCTGGCATAGAATTGGCTAGTGGCACCAGAGGGGCGGTGAGAAGGACTGGACCGCGGTTCGTTTCTGGGTCCGGCATGCCCACTGGAAGGTCAGCGCTTGATGGATGTGGCAATTCGAATCAGTTTGAGTGTGCGTGATGCACACTGGCAGCTCACCGTAGTTTGGTGATGTGCTTGATAGGCACTCACCTATTGCCTTAATTGCACTCTTGTTCGATTTAATTGCTCCTGGGGAACATCTCAAAGCGTTACTTCATAATCCCCAGTGCGTTTGCTAATGGAGTGCACTTGCAGACATTTACCCATCCATGTACGTAGTTTTTCTTTGCACGTGATCACTGTACAATGCGAGCAGCTAAAGGGGCGTGACATGAGATTGGGTACCCCCGAGTTACCTGTCCAAAGCTGCTGAATGTAAGGAATCAGCGGTTTGGCGGAGGAAGACAGCATTCGCAATGAACTGCAATGCGTTATGTGCGGCCATGACACTTGCGCGAATGCACTGCTGCAACTGTGAACCGGGTACCAGGTTAGTGACACTGCGTGTTCTATTTTGTGTGCAATTACATTATGCTAGTGGGGTTTGCACACCGCAGGCTGGCGCACCGTCTACACGGGGTTGGTGGAAATGCGAGTCCTTACGCCACAATTACACAACCGCACTGTGCTTGGTAAAGGTAGTATGCTTGGGTTATGTTTGACCTTGGGTATTCACTGCTCGTTCTGTGATTGGCTCCTCGGATGACTTCTACGTAGTTGTCTGCGTTTCCCAACACATAATTCAGGGAAACAATGTCCCAGCTCCTGCCCACAGTAGCTGCGCCTACTTGCAAAATGTTTCCACCACATGGAAGACACTCTGACCCTCATTTAACCATCCGTTAACGCGTGGTCCACTAACGTTATGAGCACTGCGGCTGCCATGGTAATTGCTATGACTTATTAGCAGTCGAGATCATCATCATCAGCAGCAGCAGTACATCAGCCGTTTGAACTGATGCTTCGCTGCCATACAACCATGAGGACCTATGAAATAAAGAATAATAAGAGGGAGAGAAAGCGGGACTTACCTGTAAACCGTAATGCCCTAAGCAAACATTCAGGGTCAAGGCGCCTACACCTTGTGTTGACAACATACCGTCACAAACAGCTGGCTATCGTGCAAAGATAAGGCGTCATCGGCGAGACAGCTTCCTTGCGGCTTTCACTGCCACGCGTCATAATCAGCCATTACCCCGCAGATAACTCAGCACCAAACACACTTTAAACAGGCAATCCGATTAGGAGACGGCAACAGACGCGCCACTGGTGTCGGTTGCGAGCCATGTCCTGTAAAGTCTCGAAACAAGCACAAGGCGAGTCACGTGGACTCCAGCCCGGAAGGCCAGACGGACCAACGGCACCCAGTTTGGTCGTCAGTGACTTCATTTCCCGCTGCCAAGTCAACCTCTGTCCACCTCGAGCCTTGCGCCACCCTACACCTGGCAGACTAAACAATGCCCTCCTAGGTAAGCGGTGACCAGGCATACGTAGCACGTGGCCGAACCAACGCAACTTATTCAGTGCTATCTGTTGTTCTAGGGAGCTAGCATGATTATCACTACCTAGTACTCGCCTATGCACATTATCTTTCGGACATGCTGGTGCCATCCTACACCAGCCATGCTTCACAGACAACGATGCTCAAAGGCTTGAAGGCGCCTCAGATCTTCAGACCGAAGGGACCAAGCCTCACTACCATAGAGCAGAACGGCCCTCACTGTGGCCTTGTATACACGGCTTTTCAGACGGAGGGAAACTCCCTTCTGTCGTCAAAGATGCCGCAGGTCCAAGAAGGCAGCTCTGGCCTTTGCAATGCGTGAGCTGACGTCAGTTTCTGTGCGCCCATCGTTGCTGATACAGCTGCCAAGATAAGTGAATTGATCAATCACCTCGAGTTCTTCTTTAGCAAGCATCAAGAGGTCATCAAATGGCTGGTGGTCCTTCAACAACACTTTGCACTTTGAAGGTGCGAAGTGCATATCAAATAATGGGACCACTCTGGACAAGCTATTCAGGGTTGATCGTGCCTTCGCAACATTGTCGAAAAGCAAGACGATATCGTCCGCATAATCTAGGTCAACTAACCTTTCACCAGGCAGCATATTAACGCCTACATCAAGAGATTCCGCAAGGGAACACTCCATGATAGAATCCACAACGAAATCGAACAAAAATGGGGAAATCAGACAATCCTGATGAACGCCAAATCGAGGAACACACCTATTGTCGGTCTGCGGTATGTGTGGCGCTGCTCTAGCACCTGCTGCAAAGTGAATATACAGTCTATACAGCCACATTCTGGGCGGAAACCGGCCTGCTCTTCCCTAATCCGAGATTCCCGTTCCGCAGTGAGGCGACGAACGATAATCAAGGCCAATAATTTTGTCACAACTAGCCTTAGGCTAATACGCCTGTGGTTATAACTGTTTGTGCGTCTGCCCTTCTTGTATATTGCCACTATAATCGATTCGCTCCAATTAGCCGGGACACTCTCTTTCTTCCAGATACATTCGAATAAGGAGGTCAGTGCTTTGCAGAGGACCTCACCTCCATCCTTAAATAGTGCATGTGGGAAGGAATCCAGGCCAGCTGCATGAAAACCATTGAGGGCTGTGATCGCGTTTTGGACCTCGGCCTCTGACGGAGGCTCTAAACTAACCGTCCATGGCTCGTCCTGTATCAGCTTAGTAGGAAGAGGTCCGGGATCAGGGGGCCAGCTGAACTGGTCTTGGAAGTGTTCCGCCCAACGAGCTATACGGCGCTTCTCATTGTGTATCAGCGCACCCGCGCTGTCTCTTATTGTCTCACTGACGCCTGGTTTTCTGGGACCAGTGGTGCGGATAAGCTGGAAAAGCTTGCGGTAATTGTCTACTGCTCCTGCCTCTTCCATTTCTTGAGCCCCACTGGTCCACCGTTCTTCCTTGTCCGCACGTAGGCTCTGCTTTAGTTAACGCCTAATAGCGCGTCTGGTCACATTGTGTTCAGAACCAGCCGTGAGATATCTTTTAGATTTCAACAGATCTACCGACCTCTCGAATATCCAGAGACTGGTGCGGTGACGATGGATAGTGCCACAAGCAGATGCTCCTGCGTCGTGCATGGCGGT